GGTCTAACAATCAAGGGCAATTGATAGCTTCGCTCCGGCTGGGAGAAGAGAAAGGAGCTTTTGCTGCTCTGTATGGACGATTGACTGGAGCCGACGCCGCGCGGTCTTTGGTGATAGAAGGGTGAGTTTTTGTTGAGAAAGCTGAGCCTCTGTAATTAGATCTTCAAAGTCTTTATGCCGGAGGATCTGAAATGGAAGGCGTGAGTTCGCTATAAATTTAACTTGGGCTCTTTCAAATCGTTGTTGGTCAAAGACTTTTCGGGTAGGCGTACGAGTAGACTAAATATAATATAGATATTAGTATCAAATCGATAGAATGTAGAATCGGACGTATATAATACCGTAAGTTCGAGCGATTGCTGTATATCCTGTTGTGTTGAAGCCTTTTTCGAGGCAACTATGCATGCGCGGCTAGATAAATGTGCAGTAAGTGACTTCGAACCATTTAATGTCGAGGATGGGTGCGAGAGCGCTTTTCCACACCTCCGACAGAGTGCCATTGGTTTCCCGGTTTGAAAGTGTGCTACTTGGTCAAAGTGCTCCCAAGTAGCAGAGGTATACCTTGCTTCAAAGTTCACTTTATGAAGCGGAGGGTGTGGGTGAGCACCTGCCGTATGGCGCCACCACTCAACGAAGTCGGTCTTATTCATTGTAGTCCAAAGAACCCAGAACTTTTGATGTTTAGGACCGATACGGCGGAGATTTGGAGGAATCGGATTCGGCTCTATTTGGAGGATTGAGGATTCTGGTCCGCTATAGATTGGCTGCTGGCTAATTGAATGATCTGGCGTAAGGGGGTCATCAATAATGCCAATGCTATAGACTGAAGAAGGTGGAGGAATTCCGGCGTGGGACAATGTGATCTGGGATGAAGGGCCAGCCTCAGCGTATAGTTCGTATTGCGACATACTAGAATAATAATTCTGTTGAACTAGAAGAGGGTTTAAAAAGCATATCTCTAACACCTACCTTTACAGTCGCGAGAGTCACGTTCGGCTACTAGTAGAGTTTAAACGAGTAATAGCGCGAAGATACATCACAAATAGGCTAGTACCCACTTATTATATGTTACTTATTGGTCTGTTCGACGGGACTCCCATGGGGGTCCCGCGGGACTCCCGTGGGACTCCCATGGGACTCCCATATAAAAGGGAAATTGATTAGATTTAGGGGTATCTATAATCCCCCACAACTTTAAGGGGAAAATTCTCACTTTTAAGCCTTCTTTATCCCGAAATTACTCAATAACCACGTAGTATGAATAGTTATTCTAAAGTGAATATAACTAATTTAGAGGTAAGGTTTCTTATGGTGCGGGAATTAAATATAATTTGTTAAAATCTTTGTCAAATTTATACTTTCTAAATAATATGTAGAAAATGTAGTGTAGTACCTCTCTGTAAATATATATTTTGCTTAACCACTTCCTTCTAATACTATGTTTAAATCTCCTTTGCGCCCAAAAGCCACCACAATCTAGTATATGAAGTTTTTTTTTTGAAGATGGATGCTTTTTGATATATACTTGAGTCATTTGTTAACTCTATTATGGACTATGTCATATAACAAAACCATATTGTTAGACATTGAAAGTAGGGACACTCATACGCCTGTAAATAACAGTATTTTATCTGATTACTTTGCAGTTTTGTGCAGCTGAAATAGGAAATCCTTGGCAAAATTATGCTAGCGTGGGACCATATGGGAGTCCCATAACTCCCATGGGACCCCCATGGGACTACTAGGGTAATGGGACCGGAATTTTTTTAGTCCCATGGGAGTAGATGGGACCAGGATATGGGACCAAAATTTTCTTAGTCCCATGGGAGTTGGCAAGGTCTACTTCCACATTAAACAAGGTCCGCTATCTTGCAGTTTATATTAACGCGAGTCCTCAGCGCCGAGAGACATTCTGTGGACTTCAGATAACCGATGTTAAGATTGTTCTAATCTAAGATGTAAGGACCCGGTGGAACTCGACATACTTAATGCTTCGTCGGGTAAAGCGACTACGCAGAATCTTTACTCTGTTCTGTACGGAGTATGATTATGAGGAGATGCTTCCTAGTGAATAAGAATGGCGCCAGATCGACTATCTGCTCTGTATCACTGAGCCGTTCTTCGATTATATAACACAGCTTTCAAAGACTCGAGACATCACAGCCCACTATGTGTTTATGATTTATAATAAACTGTTTGCTCATCTTAAACAATTAATGAAGCAGCTCCGACGAAAGGGGGTTATATAGAAGAAACAGATGCTTGATGCACTTGAAGCTGGGCGGATGAAGCTTAATGAGTATTACTCTCAGACTGATAGTATCCGAGGGCATATCTATGCTATTAGCACTATGCTTACGCCGGTAAATAAGTTTCAATTCTTCTATACCGCCGACTGGGATCAGCATTAGCGAGATGTTTATCGAGCTTCATTCCGCGAAGCCCTTACTCCATATTAAGCGCTGCTTATAAGTGATATCCAGGCTTCAGGAAGGTCTATCGCTGTAGCTGGACCATCCTCGATGCTTGATTCAATGCTTACTGGGCCTGGACCTGGCTAAGGTCTAGCACGGCTTCCAGTGTCTGATGAAATGAGCCAATACCTTAATAGTGGTAAGTGAACCTAATGATTGATTCCCTTTAGCAACCTAATACTAATTAAATAGATACTATTTCTATGAATCCCCTCACTTTCTGGAAAGAACACTAATCTCGCTTCCCAGCTATCGCTGCACTTACGCGAGATGCCCTTTCGTTCCCAGTAACTGGCGCAGGGGTTAAACGTCTGTTTAATACCGCTCGGGATATCTGCCACTATCGCCGTGGTAGAATGAAGTCAAAGACTATTAAAGATTTGATGATGTTCCTTTATACGTTAAGATTTGATATAGAGGAGCAGGAGGCGAAGCTTCTTAAGGAGTATTTTACGTGGGATGAGATCGAGGCAGCGAAAGAAGAGAAGGAGGGGAAGATTGACCTGATTAAGGATAATCTGATAAGTGATACAGAGGAGCAGGAAGCTGAGATATATAATCAGGATAAGAACCAGGATCTTATAGAACTAGATAAGGCGTCTGTAAGTGCCGGTGAACATAATGCTTAGCCGGATCCATCATTACCACCGAACCAGACGCAGATTCGGGCCTCAGGACGGAAACGGAAAAGCAGGGAGGATGATATCTTCGAATACCATTAGCATTGAGAATAGACATAAATCTAATCTGATGATCATGCAGTCGAATTTGATCTACTGAACCCTAAATTTACCGCGCTGAACGTAAGTCAAATACTCAAAATTACAGCTGGAAAACGCATAACTAATGAAATCCGAGATCTTAGTATGTTTGTAATGTTTACGACCCAATTTGGGGCCCCAACCCAGTACTGGGTTAAAGGGTTCGACCCAGAACCCAGTACTGGGTCGGAGATCTCGACCCAAAACCCAACCCAGCCCGGGTTGGGTCCGGGTTGGGTCCGGGTCCAGTTGGGTTTTGCGGAAGTCTAGCCGCAATCGAAGGATCAGTACTGCATGGCAGCGTGTCCTATGACCACGGAAGACATGGACTAGTCCTATTCACCTCAGGTACCATGGGTCCTCCCAAAGCAGTCATCCATTCCGGGAAAATCTTTACCAATGTGTTGAATATCGTTGAGTCTGTGGTGATACTATTCAATTATGCCACCGGCCCATCTTCTAGCCTCCCGCCTTCAACGATACAATCTACTCAGTCGTTCGAGGCGTAAAGTTACAGATCTCCCCGCATGGTTGGCCCGTCAAAAATCTTCGAAAGCCCCCGCTAACGCGATCTGCCAATATTACGATGCCACACTACCGTATGGACTCAGATGATGAGGATCTATAAGGGTAAACTTACCTCCCAGACTGACGAGCAACGACGGCAGATGGAAACAAATAGTTGCGCAATGCAAGTTGGGGTGGTGGCAACTTACCAACTAGTGTCAAAAAAAGTTGTGGAAAAAATAGCGAAATGGGACCGGTTTAGGGGGTGTTTACGGCTCCACAGAAATGGGGTGTGCCGTCCTAGAAACACCGCCATCCACGGAATGTCTGTCGCAGCTAAGCTGAATTGTAATCTACATGTTGGTATGGCTTGTCCTGGTTGGTATGCACGTGCTACTTCAATCTACGATATTGTCAACGTAACTGCCGTTTGGTAGGTACAGTGACTACGCAAAAGTGTTAACAACGCCTGGCCCCACACCCCCTTGATTATATAAGTTACTGCCGGTCTAAAACCTCAATAAATTCATACTATGGAATCTAATATGCTGTATACCACCCCTGGCTCTCAATGATAGCTTCCACCCGGTGTGGCATTGTCTCAGAGAGATGCTTCAAGTGCCGTAGCTCTAATTCATCCCATGCCTGCTGCGCTGTCGCTACCAGTATCTGTGGCGGTGCAGATCATGTAACCGTAATGTAAACAATTGTTTCCGTGTAACTTGCTGGGTGTATTAGGGTTTCGCCGAAACAGCCAACAATTTGCTTAAGTTGTTACCGCAACGATCTTGTTACCTTGTTTTGCCCACTGCATTTTCCGGATAGATCTGAACAAATACCACTAGAAACGAATCGATTATCATACCGCGGTGTATTCGCGAGCCGAAGTGAAAAGGAAGCTCATCATGCTTCGAACTTGCTGCCCTTAAAAGTGTGTGATGTTTGCCCCTCGAGTTTAACGTACGCCACATTTACTCTTTGTAGAACCAGTGTGATTTCTGCAGGCACTTGAGCCATCCATTTAGTCAATTATTTCTCATTCTCGCACAATCAGGGGTTTCTAAATGGCGCGGCAAGGAGTCTATCTCTAAAGGTCGGCAAAGGGTCAGACTACCCCGGCCGGTTAGCAAATTTTACAATCAAATAACAATCAAATAACAATCAAATGTAAGGAAGATATTATTGACTAATAAATGGTCTAGTTAACCTTCAAATTAGCCCGAGATCGGGTAGATCTCTGAGAAGGCTTCAATTCCATCTAAGCCTGTCGCAATAACGCCATATCAACATCCGCGAAATGAGGTCCGATCTGTCTCAGGGTCAAATTCTTCTTCTGTAAGTCACGCAACTTCCGTTTACTCTTTGCATTAAGCCTCTGGCGGGGTTTGCAGCTGCTCAGCCCACTTGCATGATGCTGAGGTGACTGAGTTTGTACCTTGGCTCTAGCGAGGCGCCTGCGAGGGCTGCTGGGAGGGACTTGATCATCACAAGGCAGGTTTTGCTCGCCGCCTTCTGCCCATGTAAGTGAGTGACTGTCGCCTTTGGACTTCGTAGTAGCAGCTTGGTCATAATTAGATAAAGAGGTGAGACATTCTTGCAAATCTTTCCTCTTCTCGGTGGCTTTAGTGACAGCACAGTATCTAACAGGCTGATTGGTAAATCCTGAAATAGGAGGATGCGGCTGGCTCATGCCACTGGCGGAAATTCTGGTGGCCTCACACTCTTCTGGTGGGGAAGTGAGTGAGTTTAGTGGGATGGCAGCTTGAACATAAGATCGGTGCGCATTATCCCTATTAATTTTAGGAGACTTGAGGATTCGCGGATTAATGACATTAAGACCTGGAGTTGTTGGCCCCGAGCTGGGTGAAGAACCTGCCTTCGAAAAGCATCGTTCCACTGCGTTACTCCTGCAGCTGATGCTATATTGGTCGTATGCACTTAGCCCTGAGAATTATCCTAGATTCTCTTCGACAGACGGAAGTAAGGTAAGAGCGGAGATAAAGGATCCTTCTGTTATATAATGCTCACGCTCTTGACTTAGAGGTGAATAATGTTAAATTCGGGCTTTCTTAGAACGATCATCCTGTGGATCTGTTAGAGATCCTTGGGCTTCTAACTTATAAGTGCGCTTTCTCTTATTAGAGAGCTTTAGATTTTGCCATATGGTTTCCTTAAGCCTATGCGCATCGTGTAAGTGATGTCGAAGATCACGCTCATCGCTGAAGGTTTAGGAGCATCCGCATATCGGCTTTATCGGGCTAAGCCGTATTTTAGCTAAGTGCTGCCGCTCAATGTGTTCCCTTAGGTTATCACTTCGCAGCCAGTATCGTAGACGTTCTTCCGCAGAGAGATCCGGGTCCCATAAGTAAAAGGCGTAGTATCCTAGACGAATGACGGTATAACGATATATGATTACTTCGCAATACTGCGCTTTCTAGGACTGGAGATAGGTATCATAATGATCCCGCCATTAAACTGACGTACACCATTCCATGCATTTATAGTAAAATCGCATCTCTGATTCTGGTATTTAAAGGCTAAAAGCTTTCTCGCGCCGAATACATCCGTGGATATGAGCACTTCTGTCACATTTTCTCAGACTAATAGAGTTAGTATCGACTAGGTTATTATTAGATCGGGGCGCTCACCTTATAATATTGATTTGGCAACCTTTTATAGGACAGAGACCCTAAACTGGGCTTTCATTTAGAAGGTATACCACATTAAAATCACGGACACACTGCGTCTGTAGATCTTAGATAAAAAGAAGTTTTTCGTTAAAGGAAAGCTCTTTAGTGCAGGACATAGCTATTGCGATTCGCGTAACTTCGGGTATAATCAGCATTTAAGCGCGTGTGTAAATGTCATTATCTAAGTGCGCCGGCTCTTCCTTTCCCCGGTTAATGATTTTCTGGTCTCTTTTCTCCCGTACCCACCGATTTTAATATTGCTTAAGCTCAGAAAGACGATGTCGAACTAGCGCCTTCCTGTATTCCAGCTGCTCGTGCTTAAGGGAGTTCGCATCGTGACTTCGCTTAAATAAGTCGATCCGATCTCTTATTCTTACCATGTCAGGTTTTTCAAGAATACTTTGCTTAACTTCTGCTGGTAATTCGCTCGGTAAGCCGCGCTCGTAAAATTAGACGTAGCCTTAGAAGTACTTAATATGGTCAGATTAGTCCGCCTCATCGAGAACAGCTGACACTGTATCTATAGAGGAGCAGTGGGCTTAATAATGCTCTGGAAAAGTGTCTGGTCCCTGGTGTGCCATGATTTAGGACACAGGTGCAGAACCATGCCTTCCTATAAAAAAACTTTAGTACTGTGGCCTCTTTCGGGTTTTCTTTCGTGGTTATAGGGACTGACTTTCGACTTTCTTCCCTAGATTTCGTCGGATGCAGTGGACCGTTGCCAGTTCACTAAAGTATCCCGCAGCGGCGAAGATTTAGCGTAAGCAGGGATAAAACTTTTACTTCGTTAAAGGAGTCTCTTAGGGTCCATCTGCCGTGGCATGTCTGAGGACTGGCTTTTCTAAGTACTCATCCTTCCATCGCAATGGAATTTCTCCATTTAAGAGATCAAATTATGCTAGATCGTCCACAGTGTTAACCCGAAAGAGAGCACCGTGTGCTAGTGCGAGGGAGAGAAGAAGGTAGCCTGATGTAAATTGCGGTCTGTTACTATCCCGGATACTAATCCCGAATCTAGAGCAATGATTAGTAAAGGAAATATCCTAATATACCTAAAAAGTATGCCACTGGGCTCTTTCCACTCACACAGTGTATTGTGGACATCGGTTATTCTTAAGCCAGACCTATTTAACCCGCCATCCCACCGCCTAAGGGGCCGTGGTTAAAGGAAATAGTACTAAGTCAATATGCTGGAATAGAGGTTAGTAGTAGACGACGTCGTTAGAGTAAAGAAAACCTACTTTATATCGAAGACCTCTTTCATTTTTGTCCTTACTGGAAGGAATGAAAGATCCGACTCTTACTCCAGTAAAGAGATACAGTTAAAGAGTAAATAAGATGACTACTTTAAGTAACCCAGGGATAAACGTTTGATGATCTGTCTGCCATAAAGACGAGACCGTTCTCAGGAAATCATGTTTTATGAAGTTTAGCTTCTCTTTCTTTTAGTTCACTATTATGCCTTCCGCCGTCAGAGTTTTCTTAATCCACTATCTTGAAATTAGTATGGCTATAAGGGTTAGGTCTCAGAGGGAAGTGACGATAGACAGACCGATTTTATTTCTTTTCGATCATCTGGGATGATTTTAGTCTTTATAAATACTTCAAATCCACTAAAGAACCGCTCGGCGCACGCCTCTACGGTTCTTACCGTTAGTCGTCCATTCTCGTTCAGTCGGCCTTAAATAGAACCAATGTACCAGCGGATAAATTCCTTAATCATCTCGTGACTTAGGGCTGGATAACTAAACGAGGTCTTGTAGGTTTTAAATCCATTCTCTGGGTCTTTTATCGATATAAGTTGTTGGTCTCGGCAAGCCTTTTGTCTTTCTCCCGGATTGAATCCTCTTGTCTGCGAGCTCCAGGAACATAACCGTTTCTTTCCCGTTATAGACGACGTCTCTCCTTTGCGATCTCATCGCGCTCAGCAAAAAAGTCTTTTCTGCCCATAATTAAGTGCGATGCCATAAGGGGGCAGGTATTCAGGGCAATTGAGCCCGGTATTGGTTCGACGTATTAAGGAAAGGCGCCGAAAGCGTAGGCGTGTGAATGATTAACATGCCATTAGGGCTGGGACATGGTCTGCTTTTATATTTGAGATTTCGAGCTCGAGCCACAATGATAGAATTCAAAAAGAACGCTTAACCGCAGCATCATGAAACAGAGGAAGCCCTCCACTTTCTCCTACGCCCCATGAGCATGACGTATCTCCTTCTTTCTCCTTCTTGATGAGATGGGCAGGGTTCAGAAAATGAGGGCGGGTGCGATGCTATCTACGAACTAAGAATCACAGTATAAACGACCCTGTGGGGCTGTTCCATCAAAGGTATAGTCTACGGTGGTCTGAGTGATCAGAGTTGCTCACTGATTGGACACAGAGGGTCACTGAGTAATCAGTGAGCATCCAATGAGCATTTACATGGTATCAGTCATCATGCACGTGACTATTCTGAGCTGATCACTGACTCTGAGCTCGTGCTAATATCTACTCTGAGAGCCTGAGTCTGAGCGCCCTCATTAAAGCGGCGGCAGCCCAAATAGGAAATCCCCACCCGCCAGGGAAAATCCGGTACATATAGGTACATATATATCACTAGAAAGACCACTAGAAAGACCACCAAAAGAATCTTAAGAAAACCGCACATGCGGCTAACTGTTCTTGTTAACTATCATATACCTTACCTTATAACTACCCACATACTTACTAAACCTATAGATGTATCTAGTATTCGTAAGTTACTCCTTTAACGGGGAATCTACTTGCTCGCTATTATGCGCAATATGGATAATATCATCTACTTCTAGTATCCTAACAGGTCGTTGTCTTGATGGTCCCTAAAAGCCCTGGCACTTATAGAAGCCGTCCATTTTTCCCGTGGGCCGTGTCAGTTATAGAGTAGGCAGAAACACCAGATACCCAAGAGAATGAATAGCTTGTGTGATCACAGTCTCGATGACGTCCATCTTCGCTGATCCTATGCCTCAAGACCAACATTTTTTGCCTCTGGTTAGTATGACATTTTACAGGGGTGTTAGTCAAATGTTGTCTCAGAACTGGTACTTGCAACCCAAGCAGCAATCAACAACATGGGATCCAGAGCTAGCAACCCTCTGCCGATCCTACATTTTGTCTTCATCGATCTAGAATCCCTCCTGATACTGATGATCACTGCCTAAAACTATTGTGGTATTTGTGCTCTCATGACAAGTATCTCGAGTATAATGCATGGTATGTATGATTACAACAGCGAATAAATTAATTTTTGTTTTTCCCGGGCCACCATCTTTTCAGCATTCGCAACTGGGGTGTTTTTAGATTGGCTGTTTCGACGACAGGCTCAGAATATGTACCTGGATCCTGACCTGAATATACGACGTGTGGAGTTTCCCATGGAGAAGATGAGCATTGAGCTTGATATTCCTGTGCTAGCTCTGGCTTGTACGTGTCAATTCTCCATTTAAACTTTTGAACAAGCGCTCGATAATTTTTTCCATATTCTCGAGATCCTCTTCAGCTCTTGGAGATCAACTGTTAATCAGATGGACATGATGTTACTCATGGATATCTACTCAAATTCTCCCGCCGCTGCAAGAGCAACCTCCAACGCCGTTCGATGTCAATTGGGTAGGTATCTCGGCCGCTATACTTCCACTCTTGCCCAAGATGAGCAAATGTTGGTTCTAGCGTCCATTGACGTGGCTCGGGTATTTCGTGAGATCACCACTGGTGTGGTGATTAGTACGGATACAGAGTACAGCTTTGGAAAAGCGACGGTCTAGAGTCGCAAATGATCTCTGTTATTTCTTCCCAGTGGAAACAGAACACTCTGCTGGGCATCCCGGCTGCCCGCATACTGGCAGGCAAGTAATCCTAGTCCAAGTGCGATATAGATGCGCTGTGCGGAGTACATCAGCCCACTTCTCTAGCCACTGTAAGCACTTATTCCAACCCACCAACCACCCACTTTGCCCCGCGCACCCGCGTCGGGTATCATTCCATCCCACCACAAAATCCCCTCTACCCGAAACTCCATGCAGCAAGCCGCCGCTAAGCACGCCTTATTGACGGGCTCGCAAGCCACTGTATGCGACACTAAACCCCCTACGCCGGGCTTCGAGTAAATCTCCACAATGCGCAAGTCAACCGGCTGTATAATTGGTGACATGTGTCCCAGGTCAGGGATTAGTAACCTGCCGCGGATATGTGGGTCACTCATGTTTGAGATTATGCTGGTAAGCTTGTCTTTTTGGTCTGCTGCAGATGCGGGTCGCTTTCCTTTTGATAAGGGGCGGACACGTTATCGACAGTTTTGGTCCATAAGGAAGAAAGAGATGGGATTTGATATATTAACATTGGGGACCGTGGGAACTCCGAAGGGATCCGACTGACACGTAGCTTTGTCATGTTGGGCGAGGCCATGGGAAATGAGACCCGCTTGCTTTGTTGGCTGTGTATTTTGTTTGAGATTTTTTCTCCCTCATATTGGGATAGAAATATTCCGAATGGGCTTCAAAGGCTGGTCTCACTGCGTCAGATAATTTCCGTGGTGGGGGCGAAGGGCCGAGGCTATGGTCTCAAAATTTCCCGTGGACTTGACCTCGAATTTGAATTGGGACTATAGACTTCTCGTTAGTAAGTTCCACTCTCTTCATGTAGTACAGCAGAAAGTCCGAGAGGGTGCAAAACTCACAATATGTTGTGGCAAAGGGTAAAGCTGCCAAAGTTTACTACCTCGATTTACTTTCTAATATTAGGAGTAGCAAGTATCAGTGTTATTCGCCACTTACAGCCCACCAGTTATTTGATTCTAAATACACATATTCCAAGGGGGTGAGAGGTGAAGAAGATCAGCTCTACAATATGGATATGCACCTAGGCACGGTACGCAATAATGAAACCAAAGCCAGCCCGTTCTGCAGCTAGCCCAATCAAGACTTATGGGCAGGTTGCCCCAATTCACTTTTTGTGCCTTCATTGGTTCGCCCGTGACTCTAGCGTGTCGTATTGTTTCGATGTCACTCTGGAGGATTACGGTTCATTTGGATATGAGATATCCTGTTCTAAAGATACTCAATTATGCAGCCTTGTAACTAAATGCGTCACTCCGGCAAAGGGGTAGCTAGATGGGTCGGGAGCTTGGACTGTGATCCGAGACATGTATGCACACCAGAGACCATCATGAGGTTGTATCAAGCACCTAGAATACATTGTAAGGAGGTTCCGCCCAGTGTGCCAGCCAGTCAGCGTCAGCGGGTTTCTCCTTCCTCACGTAGTGATAGGTGTCGGGTGATGCGGCGGACTAGGCAACGCGGATTGTGGTTGGCTGGATGGAATATCCTATCTACCTTGGGGACAGATTGGCTTTAGCAGAAAGCCCTAGAGATGTAGACGGATGACATGAGTCGGTAGTCGGGACGTCACTGTGTTGAGTGAAGACGCGTGCGAATCAGAAATGACCAGCTTGACGCATGACACCCCCAGTCAATCAATCGCAACTGGACAGGGATCTTCACCCATTTTCACTCTGGGCGTCCATTCTCGCTAAATAAAAACTGGATTATGTTGATTTGTGATAAGAAGAAGTCATAGTTTTTTTTTTTTAAAAATCCCTTTGAAGGAACTTATAGGTCACCAGGCAGTTGCGCGTGGAGAGAGAGGTGTACCTGGGTGAAATATTAGTTTCACAGGTGCCTGGGGGCTTTTAAGAAGGGCATTTCCTGGATCTTTCACTGCTTTTTCTCACTGCTTTTTTTTCACTGCTTTTTTTCACTGCTCCCATTCAAATTTTTTTTCTTGGGGATCTAACATGCTCCACTATTAAAGCGGCACTTTCGTCATCCCGTCTCTAACCTTGGATTGAGCCTTGAAGTCGAACGTTGTAGAGGGCACCGGAGTCCTCGGCATTAGAATCTAGTAAGTGATTTTTTATATTTTTTATATTTCTTATATGCTTGGGTATTTTTTGGTATTTTTTTTACGTTATCTTCATTCTCCGTATTTCGTCATTTTGCAATTTCATTGCTATTCTTGACAATTTGGTGGAGTTTTCCCCCCGCAAGTGCTTAATGCACACTAACCGGGCCAAAAAAAAACAGATGCCAAAACATTCTCCCTCAGATTCCCCTTTTTCATTCTCTTCCTCGTCTTCCTCGTCTTCCTCGTCTTCTTTCTATCTCTCATCACGTAGTAGCTCATTTTCCCCAAGTAAGTGGCTCAATTACCCTTTGACTATCTTCCCCATTTTGAGATTCCGGGTGTTTTCCCCCTCTCTCACCATTGGTCTACTCCCCCTATGGGATCTATATTCTCAAACCTTCCCCCCTCTCGTGACATATGTTCAATTATTCTGTCGGCTATCGCGATACGATTTCATACATTCCTCGCTAAACACGTGTGGCATTCTCATTCCCAGGCTGATCAAATTTTAGGCCTATCATCAGCCTCGTACCGGCGCTCGGCATTCCAACCAAGAGATCATCTTGAAAGTCTGATCACCAAACACGGCTACCCCACACCTGTGTCACTCTCTTCCCTGCGAGATCTGACAGCCACCTCGTCTACTTATACTCCTCCTTCACCTCGGCGTTACCGGGATACTATCCCGATCGACTTTGACCCGCTTACCTCATCCTCACCTACAAGACCTATTCCAATCCCAAGACGCCCCGGTCCAATATACGACCTTCCAGTAACACCACTCACCGGTCGATTTGATCACTCTTATTTTGACGATTGGGAACGTGCATCTCAATCCAACTCCCGACAAATCCATTCAATCCGACCTGTTCGTCGCCATCCATCGCGGCCCCTGTCATCCTCCACGAGGATGCGTTCTGATAACTCACCTTACTACTCCCCGGCTACCTCGCCTATTATGTCTCCACGACGCTCAAACTCTCCCCAACCTCGCTCTCGAACCCAGAACCCATCCAAGGCCAAGCAAACCCAGAACTTCCATCTCGGTAGCTTGCCCCGGTTCCATCCCGCTGTATATCAGTCGAACAGCACTTCCCACACCGCTGCTTCCCAGCCTTCATCTCCTCGCCAGTCCCGGCAGACTGTCTACCGAACTACAGCTGGGTCACGCGACATGATGTGGCAGTACCGTGAATTCATCGAGGGCGTTCACCAAGGTCCTTCAGCGCCCCGTTTGGACCCTCTGGTTAGCCCGGGACCCGTCACGCCCCTGGCGCTAGAGGCGGGCGATTACCTCGCCCATGGCTCGATGAACAACACATCCGAGCGGACTCCACGAGATGTCACAAAGAACCCCGGCCCTCCAGCTGAGCTGGTGGAGAAGCTGATTGCCTATGAGGAGAAGGCTCGGCAGATGGCTCGAAAGCCCGCCAAGGGCCGGCAATAGACTTATCCCATCCTGGCTTTGCATCAAAGGCTACTTTTGTTTATTATCCATTAGAGAATGGGCTTCCTTGGAACTCTTTTTTTCGTGCCTGTTCGTTTTATATCTGCTTTTTGGTGTTCTGGGACAAAATGAGCTCACCCCACAGGGCGGATACAGTTTGCATGGGGCCTCCTTTTTATCGTTTTCTTGTTCTCATTTTTTGCATTCTGGGCATTCTCACTCATCAAACATCCTCGGCCTCGCGTCGACTACTGCGTTTGATCTTGCATCACGACCTCATGTACCTAAATTATATACCCCACTCTAGTCCAGTCTCTGGACCTTGGCATATCCAAGTGGAGCCCAAGTATCAACCTTCAATATGAAGCACATCCTTTTTCAAACTCTTGGTTTAGCCATAGTGACAGCTACCCAGCCTGATGGTATGGTCAGGGTCCTTCCAACGTTATTTGTCCGCCACGCCTTCCGTATTGCTAGATCTGGAGTGCCTTTTGACCTTCAGGTAATCTGGGCGATGATTTTTTATCTTGTTAAAAGAAATCGGTCCGTGTATGACTATCCCTAAGCTTCCGAGTGCCTTTTTGTCTTTGGGGTTAGTCCCGGGTTACCCAAATTCCATAGGGATTAAAATGAGAGATATATACCCCCCAAAGCTAATCCCCAGATTTACTCCATATAGAGCTAGTTCAAACGCCACCTCCGATCTGTGCCTAAGGCATCACATACGATTCGGAGGAACACCCACTCTCCCCGAGAGGAATCTGCGGGGCCCAAATGATCATTAAAACAACTTCCCCCAGCAATATTTCTTTCAGTTACTCCATTCTATTCATATATATACCCCAGATTCCCCAGAAAAGATACGGCAGTTTGCAAAATCCTCCTTGGCAGCCCAACTCTAGATCACTCTATCCTTATCGGCTATCCGTCACATTTCGATTTAATCGCCCACGCGTTGCGCACGAGCACCCTACGGCTTGCGCGAAGCGTCCATTCTGTGACGCATTGGGTCCGCGATTCAGGATCAGATATTTGGGGAAACACCTGGGGCTATTAGACGATGTCATCGGCGCCGGCGCCTTTACCTGCTTCGGCATCTGATATGACGGGCCAACAGAAGGCGGAAAACGCGCTTGCTCAGTCTGGGACATCGAAGTCGAATTACAAGGGTTTTGTGGCGGGTGTTTTTTCAGGCATTGCAAAGCTTAGTGGTAGGTTGTGCTCTGTGTTTTGACTTGGGGCTGAAGCTAATTTTGATTTTCACAGTTGGCCATCCGTATGCATACCCAACTATCTCGCCTTCGGTCAATTGTTAACGAAATTGCACAGATTCGACACCATCAAGGTTCGCCTACAAACTAGCAAAGATGTGCAGTTCCGAGGACCGTTGGATTGCACGCTGCAGACTTTGCGAAAGGAAGGATTACAAGGGTTTTACAAGGGAGCTACACCACCGCTGGTCGGATGGATGGTGATGGACTCTGTGTGAGTGCACCGCGCTATGTATTAACAGAAATAGAGCTGACTTGCACGCAGCATGCTGGGATCTCTTACTCTATACCGTCGATTATTACTCGAAAATGTCTTCTCGAAACCTCACATCCGCCCTTACCTCCCCTTCTCGAGCTACCAGCCAGACCTCGCAACTCTTCCTAGTTTCGGACATGGTATTGCAGGTATCATGGCAGGTACAACTGTCAGCTTCGTCGCAGCCCCAGTCGAGCACGTCAAGGCACGCCTGCAGGTGCAATACGCCGCCGACAAATCGAAGCGCATGTACAGCGGGCCGATCGACTGCCTGCGCAAAATGGTGAGCGTCAATGCCTGCATAATATGCACACCAACTAACATAAATAGTATCGCACGCATGGTGTCAGCGGCCTGTACCGTGGCCTCTGGGCAACGGTCCTCTTCCGCTCCTTTTTCTTCTTCTGGTGGGGCTCCTATGACGTCCTGACTCGCTACTTCAAAAAGAACACCACATTGTCCGCCCCTTCGATCAATTTCTGGGCTGGAGGAATCTCTGCCCAATGCTTCTGGCTCACCTCTTACCCGGCCGATGTTGTTAAGCAGCGTCTTATGACCGATCCTATGGGTGGTGCGCTGAATGACGGCAAGCGACAATTCCATGGCTGGAAGGACGCTGCGGCTGCAGTATGGCGTGAGCGTGGGTGGAGAGGGTACTGGCGGGGCTTCGTGCCGTGCTTCCTTAGAGCGTTCCCGGCGAATGCAATGGCTCTGGTTGCGTTCGAGGGTGTGATGCGTACCTTACCCTAAACTCCTCCATGGTCTACACGAACCTAAAAATGATTGAATTTACCGACCTTCCACGGCTAGATAATTACTTAGAATAGAAGAACATACCCATTGTTTATGCACTACTTTCCCCTGAGGGAATTTAATCCTCAGTCAGGGCAGTCCGTGACCAGGAATGTACTATGTAGTGACGGGCCGCATTCAGCGATGAGACCCTTCGCGACCCCCCTTGAAGTATCCCCCCGATAACACGGACTATTTTCAAAGCCCGAGCGAATGGCGATTCGTAATTGGACCATGCACCTGGATTGTGATCTCGGCCGCCGATGTGATCTCGGCCATTGCCGAAATATCCTTGATAGTAAAGTGACATGGGTTGTCTTGGTTTGTCTCTTTCCGGACAGGGCAAAGATTAAAAGTCATTTATAGCTGTTCTCTTTGACATCTCCAATCTCTTTCACGTAAAAACTACTTTCCCATAGTCGTCACCAGGGGAGGAATTGAGGCAAGGCTGAATAACCCGAATCTGGTACCATAGTGCCTGAGGCATCAGAGCAGACCAAACGTCAGCGGTTTCACTGGACAGCGACACGTTCGCAATCTCCAATTAACGTTGATCGGCCATGGCCGTTGCACGCTCTATGCGCCGCACGAGCCCAATCAGCCTCGTGCTAGCAGCGCTGCTGGCATTTGGCTTCATATGTTTCATGCTCTCCCCCTCGACTCCCTCCGCATCCTCCACATCCGCTAGCTCCCAACAGCGCCAGGAAAACGCCGCTGAACACCCTCTCTCCCCACCCACAAAGCCCTTCTTCAAATCACAGGCAGTTCGAAGCGATGGGTACAAGGCGGCTCCACCGGTTGTCCACTACAACCTCAACAACCTGACCAATACCGCGGACTCAGTCGCTAACGGCGAGCGGGTCCTCATCCTCACCCCGCTAGCCCGATTCTACCAAGGATACTGGGATAACATCGAGAGGCTGACCTATCCACACGAGCTGGTCTCCCTGGGATTCATCGCGCCGAAGACACGTGAAGGAAACACTGCAGTTGCGGCTCTGGAAAAGGCCATTGCCAAGACGCAATCGGGGCCAATCGACAACCGCTTTGCGAGCATTAGCATCCTGCGCCAAGACTTTGATCCGCCATTGAAATCCCAGGATGAGAAGGCCCGCCATGCAATGGCCGCGCAGAAAGAGCGTCGCGAGTCGATGAGTCGTGCGAGAAATAGTCTGGTCTTTACAACGCTCGGTCCCGGGACTTCATGGGTCCTCTGGCTGGACAGTGACGTCGTCGAGACACCGGCCTCCCTCATTCAAGATCTAACTGCTTTCGATCAGCCAGTTATTGTGCCGAACTGCTTCCAGCGCTACTACGATTCCTCGAAAAGGAAGTGGGATATCAGGCCTTACGACTTCAACTCGTGGGTTGATAGCCAGGCCGCGCAGAATCTCGCCGTGAACATGGGGCCTGATGAGATTCTCTTGGAAGGCTACGCTGAGATGCCTACATATCGAACCTTGATGGCGTACTTGCCAGATATGAAAAAGCTTGATCCGAAGAAGATGCTCGCTCTCGACGGCGTTGGTGGTACAGCCTTGTTGGTCAAGGCTGATGTGCATCGCGACGGTGCCATGTTCCCCGCCTTCCCGTTCTTCCATCTATTGGAGACGGAGGGCTTCGCGAAGATGGCTCGAAGACTGGGATACGAGGTCATTGGACTCCCAGATTACTTCGTATGTTTCCATTTTCGTTTAATCTGCAGAGGAAGGGACAATCTTGCTGACATGTTTTTCAGGTCTACCATTATAACGAGTAAATGGCTTCCAGCCTCGTCCAGCATCTATTTAGCTTGCATGAATTGCGCTGTGCGCGTCTTGACCCCTTTCTCGCCTCTCTTCGCCATCCAGGAGATTCATTAGCAACATTCTGTTCAGGTTTTTTTATTTTATTCCATATGTACTTGGGATGGTTACTTCCCCAAGTCCCAAAATTGACTTTGCATTCTTCTGTGTATTACCAAGGAATATGACTGGGTATTCATTCATGTTGGAGGGGAGTTAGCTCTAGGGGTATTGCTGGCTTGTTGATTCTTGTGCATTCATTCTGATTCTAACGTGGCTATTGTTATCTCGAATGAACGGTTACTTATTCGTGCAAGATGACTCTAAATTATCATATAAAAATCACCATGGTATCTGGTTGAACAGGGCGTTGGTCTATTTATCAGTAAATCGGGCGTCACTTATGTATCCTTTTCAATGAATAAAAGGCATGGGCTTTTGTTGTTGCACCGTGGCTCAATAGTGCTGGGCAACGTATGATATTGCCGGTGTATACCAGCATATACCGGTGCCCAATACAACTCAATTAATCCCAAGAAATACTATAAAGTGTGTCAGCGATAATTATCCTACCAAAACTTTGCAGAGGGGGATAACAGATACTCACGCAAGCATAATGCCGGCTCCAAGAGCAACAGCCAAAAACTGTGTAATAGTCTTGCGCACTTCAACGCCCTTATCCTTACCAGTCTCCAGCAACTCCGGGATCACAGCCACGGTGCCAACATACAAGAATGTGCCAGCCGTGAACGGAAGAAGCATATCACCCCAACTAAGGCTAGTTCCCATAAGACCAACAGGCTCGGTATCATCCAACATAGTGCCATTGCCACCGAACTCCTGAACGGCAATTCCAATAAGAGTTCCCAAGAATGCACCAATAGCGGTAACAAATTGCGCACCCATAGCCTTGCGCTTCGAGAAGCCGGACTGAATAAGCAGAGCAAAGTCACCGACTTCATGGGGGATTTCGTGGAAGAAGACAGCCACGGTGGTCGTCGCGCCAATGGTAGGCGAGGCATAGAAGGAAGAAGAGAGAGCAAGGCCATCGGTGATGTTATGGGTGAAGTCGGCGATAAGATTAAGGTAACCGCCAAGCTTGACGCTGGGGTTGATTTCCTTCTCGGGAACGACCTCAGAGGACTCCTTCGCAGCAGACTTGCGCTTCTTTAGCTCGCCGCTGGACTGCTTGGTCTCGGCGCCGGAGGTAACTGAAGCGACTGGTTCAGAGTGTGCGTGGCTGTGCGAGTGGTCATGGCCACCCTCGCCGCCAGTGGCAATGCGCAGGGCCTTGTCCATTGCGACAAATGTGAAGAATCCGACCATGATTCCCAAGCCGAGCAGAAGGTTCCTGTTTGGCTCGACCATTACGAAGCTCACGTGGTCAGGAGAGGCTTCGCCGACGAAGATCTCAGGAAGTAGGTGGAAGAGGGTGTCGCCGAGTAAGCCACCGACGGCAAATGCGACCATCACGGACAGCGAGGAGGGATCAATGTTGGGAGGGCATAGTGCCAGGAGGAAGTCTAGGGCAGTTAGCAAAGACATATTATGAGTATTGAGGGGAAGGCTTACTGGGTGGACCGGAAATATACAAAGTTGCCAGAAGCGCGTTCACGGCTGGGGTGCTTGGGAAGAGGACAGCGAAGATTTTCGATGTCAAGCTAGCAGTCTCCGGGCGGGTTGCACGCTTGTGCTCATTGAGAGACTCAACTAATGGGCAGCTCTGTGGTAAATTAGTTCACATGTAGGGCACAAAGTACGTTATACTGCATACCTGCAATTGCTCCTCGATCTGAGCTACGGAGAGCTCTCCGGGGCCAACATTAGCCACGGCCAAGGCTGAGAACAAGAGACATCCCGCTACAAGGGCAATGCCTGTTCTGCGTGAAGGAAAGAAACGAGAAGCCATTGCGAAGGAATTGGCCAGGTTTCTGTTAAATGACAGGGGATATAGCCCCCGGAAGTACACTGAGCCACTATCGTTGTTTATCGCGGGACCGTGAGCAAACATGCCAAGACTTGCAAACTCGGGAAAAAAAGTTTCGATAACGCTTTTTATTATCGCCGACTACAGCGAAGAAGAACCCATTTGACATCTACACTCACTTCACAATTTACGATGGGTAAAGTTTTGCAGAAGAAGAAGGCCCGCTCCGGGCGCTCCATGGCCAGGGCCAAGGACAACCGCCTCAAGAGCGGCCACAAGAAGATCAATGTGCTGGGCAATCAGATCATCGCCGACAACTGGTATGCACATCTTGTTCACCTTAAAAACACAAAATACTAACGATTGTAGGGATCGTGACCTTACCCTGACACAAAATTACCAGCGCCTTGGTTTGATGCACAAGCTGAACGCACCATCTGGTGGTCGCGAACGCCTCCCCGGAAACAAGGACCAATACCCCGACAACAAGAACTCGCTGCACATCCGCGGTAGTGCTAAAGCAGCCGCAGCCAAGCTTGACCTCGGCGAGACACGAGTCGAGCGCGATCCTGAGACTGGCGCGATTCTGCGCGTCATCCACGACAACGAAGACAACTTTGAAGTGGCGGGCCTCCAGCGCTCGCGCACCAACCCGCTTAACGACCCTCTGAACGACGTTTTAGAAGGCAATGGCGAGAGCAACCCTCTTGCAGACTCAGTGATTGTGCAGCAGCTTGAGCGCCAGGCGGATCAAGAGGGCAAGACTGTCCGTGCTAAGAAGCCGCGGTACCAGAGCTCACGCGAGGGCGAGTGGGCTCAGCGCTTGATTGAAAAGCATGGAGATAATTTTGCTGCTATGACTCGTGATCGCAAGCTGAACCCTATGCAGCAGAGCGAGGGTGATTTGCGGAGGAGGATTAACAAGTGGAAGAAGAGTCAGTCATAATGCCTTGTTCATTTGTTCTGAGCATCTGGTTATGGCGAGTCTGGCGTTTGTCTTTTTCTGTTTATCAAAAGTGTCTACATGGATACGTGTGTCCCGAAGTAAATATTATTGGACGGCAACTGAGCCGCTTGGATTCGTTATCTCGTGTTCCTCTAGTTGTTACTACTGAGCGTCGAGTAGGTGACACCCCCCGCCGGCGGAAGGCTTATTCGTTGCACCACTCGAACCCATCGCCGGCGTCTCCATTCTCCCACTCCGTAGGACGCGGTCCCTTCCTCCCAATCCCGTAATTTCGCCTCCTCCTTCTCCTTCTTGACTTTGGTTTTCTTGGGAGATGGTGACTCAGGCAGGTCTCCGTAGGCTAACGTTAAATCGTCCTCTGACTCCTGCCGAGTTGGAGGCAAGTCCCAAACCCAACCACCAACTTCTCCGACCATGGCGTTGCCTTCGGCATTCACGCCTGGAACCTCGAACCCAACACTGGTGATCATGCGCTCCACCACCCATTCACGACAGTCGAGATCAAGTTCCCACTTCTTACTCTTCCAAGCCCAGCCACGTGGGGCACGGACATCTTCAAAGAATCGGCATCCACGAGGTCTGTCCCCGGCGATGCGAGATGGTGATAGCGGGTCATATGGTGCATGGCTGAAGAGGAAGCTCTCCCACCCAGACTCTGATGTTCCTGCGGCCCGGTGCTGCAGCTCGAAAATTTCCACCTCCCGCTCTTCGGGATATATGTCCAAGGAGATATCTGCAAGCTTTTCCATGGCTGACATCGCTGCAGACGGGTCTGCAGGGACCGATGAAGCGAATCCATTCTCATCTGAGTCTGCGTCCATGGAATCTCCAGTCATGTCTTGCATCAAACCGGAGAGGAATTGCCCCACCGTTGGGTGGATGGAGAGAACCAACACATTGCCGCCAAGGAGCACCACAATTTTGAGGGGTAGCAGATGTGCACTGATAAACAACACTACTATAGCTATTGTGCATCCGAGGAATAGAGTTGAAGAGAGCTTCTCATTGGAGAAATTTGTCAGCGGTGCAACAACATTGATAGCTGCATCATGGGCATCTGAGAAATCAGCCATGCAGTTCTGTAGATCTCGCATGTTCCGAAGAAAATCCTTGGAAGTCTCTGGCGCTGGCTTAATAGTCGTGGCTGGTGCCAGGGCTGGTCCATCAAAGGAGTAGTAAGGAGTAGTGCTGGACGTCGAGGTGTTTGGAGGTGGTGGGTGACGAGTCGCAAAGGCAGGCACCATTACAAAGAGCAAGAGAACCACTAGAGGCAAAACCAACAGTAGATGAGGTTGCAGGCAGATGAAAGAGTAGACGACAAGGAAAGAGATAGTATGGGTTGGTGTGTCCCAGGTGAATAATTGCTCAACACGGCTCTGGAACAGAAATACCACACCGATTCTGTAGCATTTGTTTAGTTCCAGTTGATATCACAGAAGATGATTCAGTCCTACCTTGCATTAAAGCGGCGGAAATTGTTTGCCATTACAGGCAGACTGAAAGCCGGTTTCTTAGGAGAGGCCAAGGCCTTGTCTCCCATTGAATCAGTTTCATCCTCATCGTCCGTCGGGATGACTTGTTGGAGGAGCCTACAATTGTTAGTTAGAGTTCCTCGCAGATCTACTGGATCCAAGCATACTTTGTAAATAGGCGGTCCTGCAGTGAGTTCTTGGAGATAGAGGAGGATCTCGAATGCGAACTATCTGGCGAACCAGGTCTATTCCGTTTTGAAACTTTTGGTTCGTTCAGGGATTCTGTAAATCCATCCATGACTATACATAGGGCGAGGAAGAATAAAGGAAGTAAAAATAAGAACAGAATAACTGTCAAAGCCCAAGCACATGCTTTTGCCGATCACCTGCGGCACCTGGGGGAAAGCTGACATAATCCTATTTTGCATCAGGGGGGAACCTCGAAATTCGATAGTTCTCACACTAAAAAACAGAAAGTCTTTATTTTGTCTCTTTGACTTCTTTTTTTTTATTTTTTTTTTTATAATAAACATATATTTTATCTGTGATCATTCACATCCATCTTCGATTTCACCCAAATATCCCTTTGTTGATGGGGTTATAAAATCCACCTCCCCCCCCCCCCCAAAATTACCTTCTTTTTCCCTCTAGTTACCGCCTTGGTGGACTTGCCCCAGCAACCCTACTTTCCCCAAAATTATTATCAAAGAGAACTCGACTTGGCCCTTTGCTTTTTCACTCGCAATGGAACGGTAGCTGTCAAGAGTCGCGCGACGGTGCTCAAGTATCTCTTGGTTTGAGACCTCGCACTTCTCCTGAATGCAATTGCGATCGCATCTACATCTCCTTTTCCGTTCCTTTGAAAACGCGCGGGCTTAAAAAACAATGCCGACAAAACCGCAAACACCTGGGAAGGGTCAAACGCGGACCGAAGCTCAAGCACACAATCCCTCAAACGATGAATTGGGCTCGGGAGGTAAGAGTTGAGATGTCGGGAAGGTGCAGCTAGATACTGACAATAACAGCAGAGGGCCCGGCCCGTAGGCGCCTGCAAAAGTCGGCCTCGACTAACTTCCCCTCGAACAATATGAATTTTGATACTTCAAACGGGGTCGCCGGACCGCGCACAGGTGGGATGAACAGGAGAAGACTTTCAATTCGTGACCAAAGGGTTCCTCAGGGCCCACGACCGCAAGACGCTTCGCGGTGGAGGTATGTCCAGTTCTGCTCTTGTGATTTGACTGTTGAACTAACTCGATATCTAGCAAACCTAGTCCATACCTTCACTCTGGGAACTCGTCTGTGGATTCCACGATTGATTCGACTAAAAGCTTCAACCTTCGATCTACGAGCGTGGGGAACCTGTCCAAGGCTGAGCCCAATCATGCAGACAACACGGAATTTCTAGCGCCGGTCAACTTTGATGATTTCCATAACAGCATCATGGGTGAACCCAGCTTGAACCACTTCCCCATGCCCGGGAATGGCAGTTCGGGTGAGAACCGTGAAACAGGTCCTCTGACGAATCCCTGGGAAAACCACACTTATGCGGGCAATGTATCGGAACGTACACGGGTTCCTTCCGCTCGACGAAAGAGTGAAGTGCAACGTCCGAATGGTCCGAATACCGCTGCGGGCCTCACGGCATCCTCTGCCAATACTCGCGCTCGCCGTCAGAGTATAGCTCAGCCGTCTGCTCCAACTGCTCCAAGGGGTTCGCGTAAATCTATCAGCTCTGGGGCATTTGCGCCTACCAATGCTTCGGCTAGACGGGCCAGTCTCAGTGCCCGCAAAATCAGCACGGACATCGCCTCGACAAATAACTTCCTTCGCCCCAGACTTCCAGAGTCTGATGCCAAGGTTCCGTCTTCTGTTCGAAACCTTAAGGCAAAGTCATTCCAGCCCAGTCCAAGGGAACCCCGTGGCCCATTTCTGACTGCCTCTGGGGCCATTGACCACACACGCTCAAACTCCACCAATGCCGTGCGGACCCCGGTGAGAACCCCCTCTAGTGCCGTGGGAACTCCTTCCTCTACCTCTAAGCGGGCTTCTGTTATGCCACCACATGCCACTGGACTTGGTGCTCGTACGATCAGTCCCACTGATGCACGACGACTGAAGCGAATGTCGATTGCGCCTCCTGCCCCTCCGATGCCACACACACCCCCCACTCAAACAGAACCTCTTCCCATCCGTCCGTTATCGTCAACTCAATCTCCCTCTCAAATTCCGAGGAAAAGCGTCACACCTTCCTCGAACCGAACCACGCCTGATCCAAATCGTAAGTCGTACAGTTCTGGGCTGTCTGTCTCCTCGAGCACCAGCTATAACTCAATTCGAACTTCTGCGGGCTCTCTTCAAAACCGACTGTCCCAAAATCTATCTTCGTCACGACTCCCGACGCCCAAACCCCGTACAGAGCAAACAAACTCTAATGGGGAAGAGGTACCACCGGTTCCAGCGATCCCCAAGGCATACGAATCGCCCAAAGGTGAACTGGATGCGCCTGTCTTCTCCGCGCCCAGAAAATCCAGTCTTCCTGTGGATTTGAGCCTTATGAATATCAAAGATTCGGACTCCGAATCCCATACCACGGCCCAAGTTGACAAAGTTGACCCTGCCGAAACAAAAACCCCTGATTCACGATCACGAACTTCTACTGTTCTGGCAGGACGGAAGGGTTTGCAGCCCTTGAAATTACCCCCGCTGAATTTGTTGCCTTTGGGCACGCCCATGACGACCAAAATCGAGGCACTCAAGGACAGGGACGACGAGCGCAAAGCCCACACTCCGTCCAACCAAGTGATTTCAAAGACGCCCAGTACTCCGATGACAGCATCCAAGGCGAATTTCTGGTACCGTGATGAAGACGACCAAGTACCCCTCACCCAAGCACGAAGCAGTACCTCTCACTTTGTCGTCAGCTCATCAACCGCCGCGTTGCGAGCTTCTAGCAGTACCAGCGCGTTCGAGTCATTTGACACGCCAAGTGCAGCTCGCAGCATTTCTCCGTATGCCTCATACACGCTGCCTAAGAGTGGTGCCGAGCTCAACCATCTCCGCCACCAGGTCAGCGCCGACTACTCGAATCGGACGCAGGCACACAAGTTGAATGGCCCACGACCTCAGACGCAAAGTGCCATCTTCACACCCGCTCCAGAACGGCTCAGCCAGATATCCACGCCCTCCGAATCTGAGAGTGTCAGTGTCACTGCGTCTAGCTCCTCTCTTCGGGACCGACTTAAGGTGGCACGGCTTCGCAGCAACTCGAAGCCCCAAAAGCCAGAAGCCGATGGTGATCCAACCAAGTGCAATCATATGCCGCCGCCTAAACTCCCAGCCTCTGCGACATGGAACAACCTGTCTTCAGTCAATTCGACAAGCCCTAGTCTCAAGCCATCGTATCTCAATCCTCGCCGGCAGTCTTCTGTTTCAAGTGCAACAAACCCGACGACTCGGAAACCAAGTGTTAGCAGCGAGAAAGGTCTCACCCTGGAGCCAACTCCCTCCAATGAGTCGGGCGAAAGCGACCGCTCTAGACGCGTGCAGAGCACGTATATCTCTCCTGTTCACAAGATGATCAATAATGCTAGATCTAGTGTTGCGGTTGCTTCCCGCTCTACTTCCCGCTCTACTGACAGCACCGTTGATCCAGATGTGGCGATTGCAGATGAGGAGATGAAGCGACTTGGGTCTAAACGCAAGGACTTTGAAAAGGCAGCGCGTGTGCTAGACGACTTGCGCCGCAAGGCTGGACCAAAGGATCGTGTCAGCCCCGCCCAGGCTTTGAAAATGGCAACGCTCAATATCTTTGAACGCGGTGAGATCATCGATTATCGCGACATTTTCTTCTGTGGTACCCAGACTGCCAAGAAGCATATTGGAGATCTCCACTCCGGTGCAGCGAACTTTGGCTACGATGATGACCGTGGTGATTATAACATCATCATCGGTGATCATCTGGCTTACCGCTACGAAGTTGTTGATGTCCTGGGCAAGGGCAGTTTTGGCCAGGTCGTGCGATGTATTGACCACAAGACTGGGGTTCTAGTTGCGATTAAAATCATTCGCAACAAGAAGCGATTCCATCAACAAGCCCTGATTGAGGTCAATCTTCTACAGAAACTGAAGGAATGGGATCCTCATGGCAAGCATAGTGTGGTCAACTTCACTCAAAGCTTCTACTTCCGTGGTCATCTGTGTATTTCGACCGAACTCCTCGGCATGAATCTTTATGAATTCATCAAGGCCCATGAATTCCGGGGCTTCTCGTTGAAGTTGATCCGTGTTTTCACCAAGCAGATGCTCAGCAGCCTTGTGCTGTTGCATGCGAAGAAGGTCATTCACTGTGACTTGAAGCCTGAAAACGTTCTTCTCGTTCACCCGTTGAACTCCGAAATCCGGGTCATCGACTTTGGTTCAAGTTGTTTTGAGAATGAAAAGGTGTATACTTACATCCAGAGTCGCTTCTACCGTTCGCCCGAGGTCATCCTCGGAATGTCGTACGGCATGCCGATAGACATGTGGAGTTTAGGTTGCATTTTGGCTGAGCTGTTCACCGGTTATCCAATTTTCCCAGGAGAAAATGAGCAAGAACAGCTTGCTTGTATCATGGAAGTGTTTGGTCCTCCGGAAAAGCATCTCATCGAGAAGAGCACACGCAAGAAGTTGTTCTTTGATTCTCTCGGCAAGCCGCGTTTGACTGTTTCATCCAAGGGACGCCGACGTCGTCCGAGCTCCAAGGAGCTCCGACAGGCCTTGAAGTGCGATGATGAGGCTTTCCTTGATTTCATCGCTCGCTGCCTTCGCTGGGATCCTGCTCGTCGAATCTCGCCCCATGATGCGTTGAAACACGAATTCCTCACCGGTGTCAAGGCCCCCCGGCCCAGGATGTACTCGTCAAACTCGCCCTCCAAGCGAGGTGCCAGCTCCACGGCTCGTCCTCTCCCTGATCCTCCAGGCACAACGCTGAAGAGCGGGTTCATGCGCGCTCGCGATGTCTCGGCCCATTCCCCGGTCAAGGGTAGCAGCAAACGACACTCGACCGTGAATGGGCCTCCGTCGAGCCCCGGCAAGCGAGGATCCAGCAATTCTACAACTACCGGGTCCGCACTTCCTCGCGTTTCGGCGCGGAGTCTCAGCGGGAAGCCAGACCTCGCTACTGCGGCCGCTGCGACAAGCCTGGTGAGTTAGGCCAATGACCTAAACCACCATCGAATTGGATGCTGACTAGCCAATAGAGGAAATGATTTTACACGTTTTTTTTTTGTTGAATGCCCTGTAATACTAACCCTTTTCTTTTTTACATTCTCATCCTTGCATCGGGCGGTTGTCATGTCAGCATTTTGTGTAAGATGCATTCATGTTATACCCCCTTGTTCCTGCATTTGCATTGCGCCCATGATGACCTGAGTATCGCTTATACCTTATGTTTTGCTCTTGCTTGGCTCTTATGCATTTCCCTTCGTTTTATACTTGATGATCCCCTGGGCCACGGTCCCTTTGTACATTGTTACCTCTCATTGCATTTTCTAAGAGTTTACGATGTATTGCTCAGTAGAGCGATTTAACGTGTCTGGCTTTTGGTTATGCTGAATTAATGACTATGTGATTTTAATTAATATTAGACAACTTCAAGAAATTAAAGAACATTTGAATATAAAGTAGTTGGACATTGTACGTTGTATGCAAACTGGCATGTCCCCACTGGGCAATCGGGCTACTTGGCCTCATCTTATCTTATTTACTCCGCAACAACTTCCATTGGCCTTCATGGGTAATTGATTCGCAATGAATGGCTTCGAATCTAAGGGTCTGGACGAAGATGCCTTCGGGGAGAAGTCTAGTTTGACTGCGCTGAAGACCTTCGATGCCTTTCGTGAGTACCCCCCAAGTTCGATCTAGACAACTTACTCACGTTCCCATGACCAGCCAAAACCAAACCCTCCTACACAACCCCAACCCGCAGCGGCGGCCAATGGACCGTCCTAATCTTGCTCGTATGCACGATCTTCAGCTGGTCCGAGTTAAAAACCTGGTGGCGCGGCACCGAAAACTACCATTTCAGCGTTGAAAAGGGCGTCTCGCACGAGCTCCAGCTAAACCTCGACATGGTCGTGCATATGCCCTGCGACCAACTCCGCGTGAACATCCAAGATGCAGCCGGTGACCGTATCCTAGCCGGCGAGCTCCTCAAACGCGACGACACAAACTGGCTCCTCTGGATGCAGAAGCGCAACTACGAGACCAGCGACGGCGCCCACGAATACCAAACCCTCTCCCACGAAGAAACCGACCGTCTCGCCGATCAAGAGGCCGACGCCCACGTCCGCCACGTCCTCGGTGAGGTGCGCCATAACCCACGCCGCAAGTTCCCCAAGGGCCCGCGTCTGCGCCGCGGCTATGTCCCAGACTCCTGTCGCATCTACGGAAGTCTCGAGGGAAACAAGGTGCAGGGTGACTTCCATGTCACCGCGCGCGGCCACGGGTATCGCGAGAACGCCCCGCATCTGGATCACTCGTGTATGTATCCTCCAAGCCATCCCGTACAACATTGCTAACAGCTCCCCCCTCCCCAGCCTTCAACTTCTCCCACATAATCACGGAGCTCTCCTTCGGGCCGCATTACCCGACCCTGCAGAACCCGCTCGACAAGACTATCGCCGAGAGCGAGGAGCACTTCTACAAGTTCCAGTATTTTCTCTCCATTGTGCCGACGCTGTACAGCCGAGGCAAGGGCGCGCTGGACGCGTACACGCGCTCGCCGGAGGCTGCGGCTTCGCGGTCCGGACGTAACACGGTCTTCACGAACCAGTACGCGGCAACGAGCCAGTCCAGCGCGATCCCTGAGTCGCCGATGGTCGTGCCGGGCATCTTCTTCAAGTATAACATTGAGCCGATCCTGTTGCTGGTCAGCGAGGAGAGGGCGGGCTTTTTGACACTGATGATTCGGGTTATTAACACCATTTCAGGTGTGCTTGTTACTGGTGGCTGGCTTTATCAGATCACTAGTTGGGCTGGCGACGTCTGGGGTCGTAGGAAGAATAGGTCGACTGAGGGGTATTTGACAGGCAAATCTTCCGAGTGATTGAGAAGGATCATTATTCTAGTTTTGGTTTCTTAGTTCGGATGTTTTCTGTTTCTTATATCGGTGTTCCATCAGAGATCCTACGTCAATTGCATCAGGTCGCCCTTTGCATCAAAGTTCATTGGTCAAACTCCACCTCGTGGTATATAGTAAAAATGATCGTACATCCCGCACACATGATGGTAAAGTAGAGACTAGAACTAAACCTCAAATATCTCGCCCATGCCTACGCCAGCACCTTCTGCACCAGCACGGCTGTCGACCAGATCCAGGCGCCAGCCATTCCAGTCACGCAGCTTGCTCTTGATATCGCGCATCCACTCAACACGCTTGCGACCCTCCTCCTCAGCCTGCGCACGCGCGAATGCATCTTCATCGAACTCATCATCAAAGTTTTCTTCGGAAACAAGCTCGAGACTACCACGGGTACCAGGGGGGTGGGACGGGTTAGACATTGAAGCGCGATTGCCAGCAGCTCCTGTGAAGGCAGCAAAGCCACTAGAAAGCACCGTGGAGAAGGACGAGTGCTGATTCTGGGCCATGCTGCGGCGACGGGCATGGTCGGGTCGTCCACCGACGAGATCAACGTCATCGAATGCATTAGCTGCGTCGCCGGTGGCAGGGCTAGGTCCGTCATCCGGATAGTATTCCATCTCCTGACGCTTCTCTTGCCAGACACCGCGGCGCAGATCGAAGACCTCGCCTTCCAGCTCGCGGATGCGGCGCTCAAGGCGCTGGCGTTCTTCGTCCTCGAGCTCGTCCAGGGCGTCGTCGTCGGCACCTCCGCCGACCTGGCGAGTCCGGATCCGATCACTCTCTTCGCGTAGGCGAAGGTTCTCGTTTTCGATGCTGGCGATCTTTTTGCGCATGACAGAGATTTCTTTCTCGGATTTCTCGCTCTCACGTAACCGTGTTTGGTGCCGGGCTTCGGTTTCTTTGTGGAGATTGCCGATTGCCTGGACTTTCTTGTCTAAAGTCTCGATTTTCTTTTCCAGTTCGCTTTTTTCGCTCTTGTGTTCCTCGATCTCACGCTGGAGATTACTGATCAGCGTTTCGGTGGATGTCTTGTCGACGCCTTCCTTGACTGCTTTCTCGGAGGCCCGCGTCAATGCCTGCTTTGTGTCTGCCAGCTCACGCTGGGATTGATCTAGTGCGGATTGGCTCGTTGACACCTTCTCCTCTAGCGCTGCCACCTGGGACTCGTGTGCATCGTTGGAGGAAGTTTGGGAGGCGACCTGGGCGCGGAGATTTGAGATCTCCAACTCCATGGACTCTATAGTGGCCGACTTGGACTCGAGCTGACGGACAAGGTCGGCTGGTGGCGACTCTGTCGTACTTGTGTTTCGATGTGACCGGGTCTGGAGCTGTGAGTTCTGTCGCTGGAGGGAAGCAATTTCCTCCTTCTATTCTGCGGGTCAGCAAAGATGGCGATCACAGGAAACAACGTTTCATACCAATGACTCAATGCTTGCAACCTTCTCCTCGGCCTTCTTCAACTGCTCCTTCAACTCTGCGCCATCAACACTCGCATCCCGCAGATCCTCCACTTGCTCCTCAGTCTTGCGCCAGCGCAAAGTCGCATCCGCAAGATCCTTCTCCAATCGTTTATTATCTTTCTCGAGTTCCTCGATCTTAGTAGACTGTTTGCGGAACACTTCGTGGACCGACTCCCCGTCCCCGGTTAGGGGTGGTAATGATTGTGCGGGGGACTTGATTGTAGCCGACGGAGAGGGGAGGCGCTGCCCTGTGAGACAGAGGTCTTTCGGAATGAAGATGAGCGCATCTTTGACTGGATTGACAGTGAGGGTTGTCGGCCGTGGCCGGCGCGGGGTGTATCGAGCCGGACCGGCAGCGGCTCAGCCTCTGGGTCGGGAGATGTGGGCGCTGGAGGCATCGGTTCGGTAGGAGACTCGATATCCCTATCAGTGGCAAGCTGCGCATTTGGTTCTTCTGCTTCCTCTGGTTGTTCGGGGGCTGCGGCCTCGGATTGCGCGGCGGGCTCGTCTCGCATGTCTGGCTTCTCCTCCGCGGGGGCGTCTGCCAGTGTTTCTGGGCTCGGAACATCTTCCGCAGGTTCTGTCTCTGTTGGGGTCTCTGCCTCCTTGGGTGTATCCGTTCCAGTGGTGGGGGTCTTCTTGGCCTTCTTTTTCTTCTGGAGCTGGGCAACCTGAATAACAAACAGTCAAGTTAGCGATCAAAACAACGCCATCTGTCACTCGCGATGAATTACCCTTTTCTTGGCTGCAGCCAGCTTCTCGGCTTTGATGCGCTCCTCGTCGTCGGCCATAATGAATCGTTTGAATTGTATGAATAGAATCAACTGGGGAGGATGATCAGGTGGAAGGGGGAGAATGGACAGCTTTCCCCAACGCACGGACCACGTGTCTGATCTATATGCCCGCATGAGATGGACAATATAGTATCAACTATAGATACGCCAGCGAATCACTTATAACCACCGTATAGATATGATCGGATCCAACTAGATCACATCAACGATATACACGTTGATGCCACATAAGAGACCCCGGCAGGTTGAGGCACTGCAAACCCCTGTCAACCTTCGAATCAGCCTCTTCCACTCGTTAAAGATAGTTAAAGCGTGGAGGAACCAAATAGGGACTACTTTTTATGCACTACAGATAAGCACTATCGCTGCAAGACCGCCATCCCTTTGAGATTGGTCGAGATATGGACCGAAATTACGTACGTCCTGGTTCGTGGTGTCCAACAGGCCTGACCAATGGACACGACATATAGAAGACCGGTTTACTGTCGAGTTAGAATGGACGATACATGTAGCATTTGAGATGAATGCTAGGAATTTTCAAGAACCAAAAAGCTTACTTCATAGATTGATAAACAAATCTGCATGAGGCAAATCCAAAAAAATAGACAGGGGTGATATTAGGCAGTAAGTCACAGAAAGCTGAGGGTATGTCATTGTCCGTTCAACAACTCCCCTTGTGAACGAAAAACCATGCAAGTTGATTGCGCCAGTCAAAAAATATTAACCCAACACCTCCGGCTAGAAAGATCATACCCGATCAACGGGACCAAAAGAATACAGACAAGAAACGAAAAACGAAAAACGCACATAAGCCAAATCGTTTGGTATATCTAAACTTCCATCGAGTCCGCAATTTCCTCACTCATCGCCCGGACCCCGCGACGGCTGATTGGTATGTTGTCGTCGTCGTCACTGATCACATACGTGTCATAGTCGTCCGCGGTAGGCCGAATTGTCTTTAGAGGACGATCCATCTCATCATCACTATCGCTAGCGACAAGAGTCGATCTGGCACGTTCTCCAAACCAGAACTTGGCACGCTTGCTGGAGCTGAGGTCCGGGGTGAGATATCCGTCGTCGTAGTTCCGCTTTCCAGTAGGCGTAGTTGCCATCTCGTCTGGGGTGTGGCTGAGTATGGGAATCGCACGCAGGAAGATGTAACAGACGCGCTTGCGAATCGGGTTGAAGAAGAAGAAATGTAAACTCCAGATAGCCCCATCGTCGGCATCAGACGGGTCCTCCTCTGGCGAATATGAGTAAATCGAACACTCCTTGAGCGACATGTGTTCATCTATCGTTTTCCACACCCGCGGGCCCCATGCAGAAGATGATCCTGCTGTGTACGATCCAGAAAGAGTCGCAGGGGACGCAGGGGACAGGTTGATGTTCTCGCGCGGTCGCAGGTTGAGCAGCGTTGAATCGACTGTGTTCATGACACGCTTCAAATTCCGTTCGCGTCTAAAGTCTGTGGGGCGCAGGACATGTGAAAAGTCATAATCCGGATGACTTGCGTTCAGAGTGGCGATCAGATAAGCAAATGTCCGTCGGCTCGAATGGTCGCTCAGGGGCCCGAACGGGCTAGATCGCGATAGATTGAGGGTCTCGGCGGCATCGTGTGCGTTTGGAGGTGATAGTGAAGCTGAAAATCGAAGAACCGATTCATATTGAGCCTCAAGCGACTGCTCAATATGATTGTAGAGTTTCCGATCGGAGCGTGCTGCCTTGGTCGTGTAAATATCACAACCGCCGACGATATGACAGTCAGTCGTATCGAAATTGAGAGAACTGGTCACGTCCTCAAACTCTGGAAGGGGGAGAAACTATATCACAAGGGAGGGTTAATAAAATGATCAAAAGACAAGGGGTTTGCGACTTTACCTTCATCGTGAGGTTAAACTGGGGTAGTGGAGTAACCGAGATAAGCCGATAAGCAGGCTGAGATGACGTGGCACTGTCTGCGATGCACAGAGATAGACTCAAATCTCCCTTCTGATGTAAAGAGAGAGAGAACAGAGAGGCGGATGGAGATGGAGGAGATAGCGGTGTTGGATCGGGTGATTAAACCGGGAAGGTGGAGATGCGATGATGTCGATAGCCGCGAACACTGAGATAAGGGGTTCAACACGAACTACGGGGAGATCGCAGTTCTTATAGCAAGACAAACAATTGCCAAACGAGAGAAGTATACAAAGAGATGGAAATGAAGTAAGAGGGGGATGGTCCTTGGAGGGAGAATGAGAGGGGAGGTGTCCGGAATTAGTCACGTGTGGAAGGCGTGGTCCAGTGAGAACCCGCACTGACCTCACGAGCAGCCAAACCATGGAAAGCGTCCAGTCACAGACCAACTCGGTTCAGATTGCGTGTGATATCTTCCGTCTCCTGAAACAAGTTGTATTGATTAGTATGGTGAGACTCCTATGTACGCCGATAAAAAGAGCAAGCCTGCTTGCTTTACATGATCTTGGTGACCACATCTTCCTCAACCTGGGGATATAATTAGCCCGGCTGAATCTTGGCCATGGCTTGGAAAAGGGGTGGATCAAGGGGGTCCAAATATAGCCATGTAGCACCTCTTTTACTTATTTCTTTGGAAGAAATGATAGAAGGGAGCGCCAAACAATATAATGGAAATAAAAGAAATTAGTAACTCACCTCCATATCTTCCAAACTGTCCTGCTGGCTGATACAGCGAAGAACATTCTTCTTGCTGGTCTCCTGCATTTCCCCCGCAATCAATAACTCATCGAGAATAAAGTATGCTTTCTGGAAGTTGAAGATGATGTCTAGTTCGCAGACATTGCCGTAGTATTTGTCCATCTGCTCGACGTAGCGGTGCACAACCTCGAGGGTAATCAGCTCATTATCGGTCGAGGCACAGCCAGCGATGAAAAAGAGAGAAGCGTAGCGACGGTAAACGACTTTCGAGTCTAGTAGTGCGGTCTCTGTTAGTCCAATTCCTCGTTGGCGAAAGGGGGTGCGGGGATAGAAAGGCCACCTTTGTATTCCAGGAAATTGCACATCCGTGTCCGGCGGGACAGCACCAGTTGAGTTACATCCTTGATGATCTTGGCCTTCTCCTTGGGAGAGAGGGTGGTGAACCACTTGGCGAGGCGCTAGAGAGACGTCAGTTGGGGCTTCGGACAGGTGTTACGTAGTTGACGGGACATACCACTTTGCCCTGTCGAGAGAGCAGAATCAAGTAACTAATGGGTCAGTAATCGCCGGCACGGGGTGATTGCAAGACGCTCTTACTGGACAGGCATATTGATGGAGATGTGAGATAAAGGGATGGAGAAAAGTGTCCGGGCGGAAGCTCTGGAGAAATTCTTTGGGTGGAGCGGAGGGGAGTTTTGCCCCGCTAAGCCCTAGCTTAACATGTAAACGTGGAGATTCAAGAGATGGAGTCAATTCCAGATATTTTGTGTTCTGAAGTTCCTCCAGGCTTGTGTTGTGTTTTGCGCACGGGGCCTTGCATGAGTCAAACCTCGCCTCAAACCTCGCCTCCGTGATGGAGTACTTTCTACATGCATCTACAGCTCGAACCATGCATATTCCAAATCTTTGTTAAAGCTAGCACCAGAGCTCTCCCCATCCACGGATTTAGGGCCTTAGTACAATAGAAATGGTATAATTTTACGGTCGGGCCTTTTTTTTTTGGTTGATTATCGACGTGTATGCTTACTTTCTATATAATGCTTTGAAAATACATAGATACCCGTGGACTACCAATCACATCATTGGTGGAATACCAGACAGACTATATGGCAATTCACACATTCTGAACTGTCATGTAAGTCTCCGTATTCTCAAAACAATATGCTTATATCCCAAAAGAACTGGTGTCTATGCATTGGTAGATGTGAGTGAAGAATCTAAGATTCACTTCGCAGGGTGCCATTCTTTGGCCGACAAGGAGTGATCTCGATAGATAAGGTTTCAAAATAGATGTCTACAGCTTTAAGTATCGTCTAGAAATGGGGGTTGGCGACCCCGAGGGCATAATTTGCTTGGCCCAGTAGAAGGTTGATAGAGTTATGAATTGTCAGGTACCCCGTGGCTTCAAGCAACCGAAAAGTAATGGGGTGAAAAGAGGAACAAGATGAAGGGGAAAGGACTATGTGGCTGAATATATTATTCTTATATAGTCAAATATTGAATTAAAGAGATATACAGTGGCAGCAACGCCCTCGAAATCGTAAAAGGTCAAAATAATAGTCAACGCCAGGTATAAGCCGAAGGCGACTGACCAAAACAAATATTATTAATGAATACCATATAAAGTATCAGAGCATGTCTCTCATGCTCGAACAAAAAAGAAAAGAGACAGCGTTTTTGTCGAATCGTTGCAGGCATGAGACCATGGAAGACATCAAAACTAAGACCGAGCTCCAAGCTCATAGATCGTACAAACATCTTAACCGTATACCGACATCATCCCCTCAACGCCATTAACTAGAACCAGAACCAGAATCATAATTATAACCATGATCCAATGGTATCCCAAATTACCAGGTAGTATATAACCGCGACAGGCGAGGGCGACAACAACCAAGCTCAAGGCTCAGCCTACACCACGTGCCCCCGCCTTCCATGACCAAGGCACATTTAAACCTGGGCCATGTTGGGGGCCCGGCGGCTGCTGTTACCACGGGCTTTGCGCGAGGAGGGGGTAGCAGAGCGGGACATGAACAGAGAGACAATGACGGAGGCCATGTAGCATGCCCAGCCGAACCAGAGGAAAGCAACAGAGGCCTGGGCCTCACGGCAGCGCTTTTCCATGTTGTGTGAGCCATTGGTGATCTCATTCCTAGCGAGGTATTTCTATAGAGAGGTCAGTGTCAATTCATAGTGTTATATATTCCGGTCTGCGATCCTGTATTCAGGTTCAACTTACATGGTCACTGCAAGAGTGGCACTCTAGCTTCGCAGCGAGGGCAATGGCAGAGCAGAAGAAGAAGATGCAGTTCAGCAAGTCGACGACGATCATGATGATCGGGTGGAGGGCCCAGTCGAGGTTGAACGAGGCCGGGACCAGGTAGAACAGCGTGAACATTGAAAAGACCGATGTGTAGATCGCGTAGTTTACAGTTCCAGGGTTTCCGGCGAAGGACTCGGCGATCATGTTACCGACGAGGGCCATGATGAGCAGGGACCATATGAACTGCGAGTTTGGTTACTAAACATGCGACTCGTAGCTTTTTAGTGCGAACATACCTCCCAGGCTCTGAGGCCAAGCTGCACACCTCTAAGACCCATTTTCGTAGATTTAGATTAGATCTCGGATAGATCGTGAGGCTGTAGGGGTATAGAATGGGTATCGAATGCGATGCTGTAAAGAAAAGCTTATAGATTCAACAGTGTACAAGAGCTATGGGAAATCGACGAGGTTATAAATCGGAAGCTCCGGAGCTTGGTGATGACAGAAGTAAAATCCCCCAAAGCTAAAAGTCGGCTCTACGTCATGCATCCGGGAATGAGCGGCCTAACTGGAGTTGAGTGGATGTAACAGCTCTGTAGCATGTTGAAGATGAAATCATGAAGGGTTGCACTTTGGTCAATGATGAGTTAATTGACTGAGTTTTTTCTTGACTTGCTTTTCTTTGACTCTCCCCCCCACTTTCAACATTCCAGATTCTGCTGAAATAGATCTACATTCCATTGCATATTTATATACGGAGTATAGTAGTATCATTTCCAGGTTTCTCATTGCGCTTTCTTTGTGCAACCTAATATTGTGTAGTGACTTGATATTAAATGATATAAATGCAATCCAACAAAAAGAGTCATATAATTTATATTGAACGAGTAAAAAAATGGGTCCAAATTAATCCAAAAGGACAAAAGAAACGATGGTTTAATCGACCCTGGTTATTAGCACCACACTAAGTACGTCCTAGGTTCAAAAGCTCCTCATTTAAATGAATACAACACATACGATTACCTGCCATGGAAAAACATAGAAATTCAATTGCAGTGTATGCTCGATCACCGTTTCTCTCAATGACTAGTTTTCCTTGAAGGCGCTTTGCACAGATCCATATCTAGAGAGGTCAGCATTTATATATTCCAGATCCACTCATACACAAATCACCCTTGAGGGCACTGGCTACCCAATGCGACACCACCACTGCGCATGTAGCAAACTTTCGCCTTCTGGCATGCGGCTGTAGTACACTTGGGGCTCTTGTCACTGCATTTCCCCTGGTAAGTGTTATGCAGACTGACAAGCTCCACCTCCTTCTCCATGGCCTCGGTAACCCGGTGCCAGAAGGTCGCGTTCAACGGCGCATCCTCGTCCCACACAGCTGCAGGTCCATATGCATCGCGGATGGAATATTCAATCTCAAATGTCGGACCCGTATGCTCGAGAGTCGGGTAGTCCGACACATTGTCCGACACATTGCTGTAGAAGGTGTATGCTTCGTAGATGTTGAAGTCACCCATGTCGACTTCGTACACACGGAAGCCACTGTTCAGATTTGTCAGAGGGGTTAGGCTGGGCATGATCCAGCCCGTGGTGAGGGCGTTGTCTGCATCCTGCACAGTCCCATTTTTGGCATAGTAAACCATGAATTCATCCTCGTGGGTGTGTCCGAAGAAAACGTTGGCAATAACGTGAGGCGAGTAGCGGTCCACGATCTGATAGAACAGATCGGTCGGGTTTGGGAGTGCGTTGGTCCCGTCCCAGCCACTGAGGACATGGCCAATTATCCAGGCACGCTCACCGGCGTCCTCGGCCTTTTGCAATTCCTCGATCATCCAGGAGAACATCCCAGAACTATCGGGGTCAGTGGTGTTGATGAAGGTCAAGATGTTGTGTCGGTACCACAAGTCTATGAAAATTAGTGGAACCCCCCCCCAAATGAGTTGATCGCAACATACCGGTGTTGAATGCAATGATGCGTAGTCCGTAGTGTGTCTTGACAGAGTAGCCACCATAATGCGTTCTCGCTTCATCAGCGGTCTCACGACTAATCCAGTCTTCATGGCGCCACAGTCCAGCGAGGTGCTCATAATTCCAGCTTTGCTGTTCCCCCAGACGTCCAGGGAGATTATGAGGAGAATCGATGTTTGCAGGACTAGTGTCATGATTTCCGAGTGCTGCAAAGACAGGACCGGAGAGATAGTGTTTGAACATGCCATAAATGCTGGTCTCCGTATACTGAGTCAACGCTTTGGATATCTGGGATGCCGGATCATGCGATACCAGATCGCCCGTATAGAGCGTCCATGCAAAGTGCTCGTCGTTGTTTCCTTTGCCAGTTCCAGTTAAAGGGCCAACAGCCTGCAAAGCAGCGAGACCCAAGTCATACGGGGTATCGCACAGGAAAGACCCATATGCGGAGGTAGAAAGCAGTGGCTTGTCCTCGGAAACGTCGTTGGAGTTATCACCCCGACAGCAGAGACCAGACGTGCAGTTTGCCTCGGAACTGACAGCATATCGGGCATCTAGATGGAAGTCTGACAGATGTAGTACTTTGACCCGCTCCCCACTTGCCTCGGGGACCTGGAGATCTGCAGGCTTGGGCTTGGGGAAAAGACTGGTCGTGTCAAGCGGGTTAGTCTTTGGCGCGCTGCAATACTTGCTGCTGAGAGAATGGCAGATGTATTGACCATCCAACCCTTCTACATCAGCGTGTGCTAGCACCTGGGTCCAGATAGCACCGAAGGTGTTCGTAGCAAAATCTTGCTCACACGTCTCATTGGCATGGAAGCGAAAGGCCTTGCATAGGCTGATCATGGCATTGGGAACAAAAGCTGGGGCATGCAACGCTGCAGGCTTCGCTGCGGCTAGGGCATTCTTGCATTTGGTGCAGTTGTCCTCGGAGCTATTTGACTTGATGATGGTGGTCACATTGGATACTGCTTCCTGAACCAGCTTATACCTCTTTTTGGCAGGTGTATGAGTTCGGGGAACAGGGAAATAGACCTCATCCTGATTGTCCGGGATATTGTCGGGATCCGTCAACTCGTAAGGGAAAGTGAGGTCCAACACGGGGTCATAAAGTATTGGCTGGGGTTGTTTGGTTGGCTGGGCTGGGGAAAGGTAGTAGGACCTGTCACTCGCATTAGCATACCTATCTACCCGAGTCATCGAAATGCCAACAGTAATCATACGAGAATGCAGAGGTCGGAAACCCAGCAGCAGCCACATAGGACGAGTCTCCTGGAAGCGAGGCAGCAAAGGCAAGATTCGAGAGTAGATTTGTAGTCACGAGGAGGACCAGAAGGCCTGGCATCCTGAACAAAACCGAGTGCCCCATTGGTGCAGGCGATTGAGATAGACCAGAGGAGAATAAAGAGAAGGAGAAAGGAAAGGAGCAAAAACAGTGAAGCTTTAAAGAATTGATGCAGGTACGATGCACATGGCAGAGAAGGTATATCTGAGAACAAAGTGATGTTGACAACCCACTTTAGAACAATCATGTTATTTTGAGCTCCAGTGGCTTGCTATCTAGCATATCTTCATTGAATGAGTCTCCTAAAGACCCTTGATTCCGAACATAAAAAACAATGGTATCACAGCTTCAACTTCAACAAGCCTAGTCAAAATGCCAATTTAGTTATCCTAGGAAGGTTTAACCTTTAACGCTGTTCTGTGTGGCCATATGATACAGGATCACGCGACCGAAGACGCATGCACAAGAAACCGTATCGAATACCCCATCCACAGCAGGCGATGGGGAAACGGGTCAACATCTAGACAGCGGATTCCTGATGTATCCGGGTGGGGGAGCGGTAATGGTGTGACTGGCTCGAAAAGACGGAGGCGGTCTGCTCGTGCTCGTGTGGGCCATCTCGCACAGGAAGGACACTGCCTTACTGAGCTTTCCCAAGGAGCATTGGGAGAAGGCGGAGAATGCACAAGGTGAGTCATAAGCGGGATCCAAGTGAGACCGAGAGAAATATCATGGGATTGCGAAACTTGGGGGCCAAACAGGTCGCGTGCTGTGGGGTGAGCAGGCTAGTGTCTTGGAATCCCGGAGGCTGGATAATTCGAGCCCTGTTCAGCTTGCTGACTTGTTGAATGTCGGAGGCGACAGGCTCGATTCGGCGGTGATGAAGAGTCAGTTGGTGGATTCCAAGAAGCGAGCGACAAGTATCAAATGTATTGCCATGTCGCTGTACAGCATATATATTGGATGTCCGCATTTCTTCGTGGGCATGGAAGCGATCAACTTTGTACTCGTTCATCTGGAACTTGTCAAGTATTGAAAGTGGCGAGGACGGGGCCGTGGGCACGGAGACAAAGATCGGCGTGTTGATGTATTTTACCGCTTTAACCCAGTGGAATGCACTTGTACCAAAGAAAATGAGTGCCCTGGGATCTTGGACTCGCATGTTCTCGCGATGGGGTGTCAACCATGGCTTAACACACGTAGACGAAAACTGCCAGATGAGTACCGAGATGTGCTGGAGGTCAAAGGGCGTAATGTATCGCACTACCCAGAGAGTAAAGAAAAAGAAAACCCCCGAGGACGATCCGAAGACCGACCTCTACGGCTCAGTTTAGCCGTGAGAGCCCTTTGAAGATCCACTAGAAGGAGCCTGCACGCAGACAAGTTCAACCATAATATCATCTGGGCCGTCCGGTGGTATGCTATTGTAGGAAGGGGCGCGACTGATGATGGCAACTGCCACTTGGGAAGCTTGGTTGCGGGCGTTCATGTCATCAAGGTACCAGACCTGCCAAGGCCAAGCGCCCGAGCCAGGTGGCATGATGGTGACGTTCTGATCGGGGACACGTTCTCTGGCGAAATCTAGAAAGGTTAGAACATAAAGCTAGACAAGAAGAATAATTGACATACCTTGGACTGGAATAGATGCAACGTCAAGAGTGGGTGGCGGGCACCCAGGCAGCGACGGCGGCTTCATCAACATCTTGTTGAGAACGACCTCAAGAGGCTTGGAATAGTACTCGCCCGACACAGCAAGACGATAAATGTCTTTCTGTAGGGCACTCTTGAGATCACGGGAACAATCCTCTCCCCAAATCCCATCGCATCCATTGTTCGCCCCGGAAGGGGTACCGGTCAAATTGCCAATTCTGAGACCGATTTCCGAGGTGCGATTCGAGTCGACTGCATTTAGATTGATATTTTTATTTTGATATCCCAGCCAAAACGCTGTCTTGGTCATAGGGCCTTCGCCCTTGCCGGAAGAACTGGCATCGAACCCATAGTAGAGCGTGACGGGGTCCGGGAAGAGAGGGTTGAGGTCGAAGCGAATTGCAGTCTGAGCGAGCGAGTCGATGCATCCATTATTCCAGAACGAACAGAACTGAGCCGATACAGTTTGTAGCAATACCACCAACAGGGTTAGAGACCCGAGCTTCATGTTGAAAGTCATATCCAGGGGAGGTTATGTATGTCCAGCGAGAGTGACCGCGGAGGCCCTCAGAGTCAGGATAATCGAAAGCAGATGTATGGCAAGTTCATTACGGGGAAAGGAGATAATAGGGAAAAGGGAGATTAACCGATTTAAAAAAAAAAATGGCTGTCAAAGCCAGGAAAGCCAGGGAAACAGGTCCCCGCAATAGGTCTGAAGAGAAATGAGGTTAGTGTCAACAGAAAGGGTCACTGGTGTTATTTCGGGGTAAGGAAACGAATGGAGCCTTGAAAGAAAAAGAATACCGATTGCCAAGAGAAATACAATACAAATACAAATAAGTACAAAAAGGAAAGATGATTGGTATTAAAAACGGGTTTCCCGAGCATTCTTGGGAGACTCCGGTACCTGCCGGGTACCTGGAAGGTACTTTGATGCATAGTAGTGGATCAATAAAAAGGATAAGTCTCTTTCAGGTACCCCCTTGATTGGAATATTATTTTCCGCTAAATACAATGCCCCCATTTACTCACCCTAAAGGGGGAATTATAGACAGCGATCGGTTGAAAGGGTAAAGCAGGGTCCAACCACTTATATGCGTTCTGAATTGGTGTGTATATCCTTTCTCTTTTAATTAAGGTCAGATCTTCCTCAGATCATCGATTTGCATGACCTCATCATTCCGACCTTGGAGGGTACACATTCTATAATAGCCAATAATACGTATCTGTGTGATATGCCAGTCTTCCAAGGTTGCTACCCTTGCCTGTCCGATAGGCTTCAATGCGATAACTCCTCTGACGTAAGAAAAACCGACCAGAAATCCTCGGAGAATCTAACTGCGTCATCTGGTTTGTAGGGTCCGAGACACACGCCCATTGGTGTTGGCTCGGGTTCGCGTGTGTTCAGCCAAGGCTCCTTGGCTGATTCGGCTGCCCGTTAGCGTGCAATTATGTGTATCGCGAGACGAATCCACTTAATTCATTCGGTAATATTTCACACGGAGTAGTTACTCTCTTGAGAATGAAATTTTGAGGAAAACAGAAATGGTCATGGAATGTCGGGCGACTTACCTAAACTTTTGGTATGCACATGTCCTCAAATACAGGGGCATCACCCGCCTGAATCCGTCTTTATAATTTTCCCGGGCAAAGAATACCTGAAAATTAAACGCAGAATACTGGAAAAGAAAGGCAACGTGATTTCAGATTTTGAGGAAATGATGTAAAATAAGAACAAAAATTCCTAAGGCTCGCAACGATATGAAGTTGAATTCAAGAATAAGAACCAAAAAGCAACCGTGAGCCAATCTTGGGGAGTGCTGAAAATGCTACGGTTTCAGGTCATTCACACGGTTTCGCACCACAGCTTGCGATTCACTGACAGAGGAAGCCAGTCCGCGGAATCTGTCCCTCTCGCGCGTAAGGCTGTTATCGGTAGCGGAGTTGATCAGTCGGGTATAGGTGTGGGTCGTTCATTTCTAAGTGAAGCCGAGTATTGTGTCGATGGCTCTTACAACAGACAAGAGATGTGGCATGTTTCATGTCAATGCGGAATTGCCGGCGTTGCCGGCCGCGCCTTAGTGGTTTCAGATGATATTTGTGGCATCGGTACATCGTTCGTACGTGGATCAGCTGTCGTCGGGGAAAAGGTACCATCAAAGTCCAATCAAATATGGGGAATAACGGCTCGGATTTCCATGTCTGGAACTGCTTGAGCAGCCATTCACGAAGGTCACTGAGTCGTGCTTACGAGGGCTTTAGGCAAGTCGGACATTGATTTCCAGCTAGCTGCCGTTGGTGACGACGTCTGCAATAGTCTGTAGCTTGACGGCGGTGATCTACAAGATCATTGGTGGCAACACGCAGAGGGACGAGGAAAACCAAGCCGCTAAAGGTGAGGCGGGCCATTGTCGGTGGCAGATGGTATCGATGGTTTCCAACTTGTGGGCTAGCTCCGAAACCTTAATAATGGTCCGCTGTCAGGAGTGGGAAAGCTAGTTGTGTCAGGAAACATAGACATACTTCAATGCTTGTTTTGGCTTCTAGTTGATATCAGGAACAGAAGCGAGCCGAAGTGATGTTGGATGGGCTATCATAAAACACGCCCAGCGAAAAAGATATTGCCACGCGGTGGAAACGACTAAGACTTGATAGTATACCCAACCACTAGCGGTCTGTGCCTGAAGGACCTCAGTAAGAGGATATAGTTTCGTCTAGCTCCATAGAGTATAGACCAGACAGATAGGTAATAGCAGTAATGGAGAACCGCCCCAAAAGCTACCCAGCAGACAAGGATAGAAAAGTGATGCATATTGTACAATGAACCTTCAAATGAGCGATAACCATGCCCTTAACATACATGTACATCCCAGAGGCTTTGCCTCATGCAAACAGATAAACCTATACAATTTCGAATGTCAACAATCAGAAAAGATGTGTGGGAGAGTTTCGATCATATCCCCACGCCAGAACTCCACGCTTGAAACCAGAATGCAATGATGGGTAGATCACCCAAGCAAAAACAAGACAATCCGAAACAAAAATGGATGTCCATCACGACTTGTCGTTTTCAATAGAACGGTCCTTGCCGTGCAGCCAGACACGCTTCCACGTGCCGTCAGGTCCAAAAGCTGCTTCTCGGTCTTGGCGCATGCCTTCTAGGACACCGACAACACCACCGCTGCGCAAACGCTCGAGGACAATGTTCATGCCCTGCTTGCTCTTCAATACGGCCTCCTTAGTTCGACTCACACCGATGAGCTCAATGGTCCGCTGGATGCCGGCAGTGGAAAGGGACGAGAAGAATCCTTTACGGGGCTCTTCGTCTTCATGATCACCGGTGTCATGCCTCTTCTTCCCAAGCAGCTTTCCTTGTCCGATTCGGGAGCGGAAGGTAACCGTAGTCTTGACACTAGTCTGTTCGGAATTTTTGTCGACGGCCAGACCATCGAGAGCCAGGCGATTTTCCTCGGATGGGAGCCGCTTATAGCATTGCTTCTCAACAACGCTCAGGATGCCCGTCCATTCCATGTTACGGGACTCAGTCTCCATCCACCCCTCCTTGGCATCAACAATGGTCTTCTCAAGGATGTAGCTCTGACCGGAACTGTCCGAGCCTCCCATGCCTTTTGGTAGGAGCTTTAGGATTCCAGATGGAACCTTGGATTTTTTTAGGTGTAACCGGATGGTGTGAAGACGCTCAGTCTCAGGATCGACATATCTGTCGATGACATCGGTTGTCAGGACATGGCGAGAATAAGGGTTGGGGTAGCGGAGGAAATAGGCGAGGGAGACGGCGGGAAAGGAGTAATCGTAGGTGAAATTGTTTTCGAAAAACTTCATGATGGCATTCGGTGATTCATGTAGATCGATTGATTGAGTAGCAGCAAGAGCAAGGAGTTGTCTGATCCTGTACTTTTTGCGAAGGCGAGCGAAAGGTAGAAGTGGGGCCTGAGGGGGATGAATAGTTGTTCCGAGGGAAATCAGATGCTGGGGATCACATGCCTCTCACGTGGTCCGGGGATTCGGCCTATCATCGCCTTGCAATAGCTAATGATGTATATAATTCCACAGTTCTATGTTTTTCTGAAGCCGATGATCAACTATCCAGTGATAAAGAATCAAGGGAAGTTTATGTATAAGTATGGACCCCCCAAACTGTGATAAATAAAGTCATATCTCGGGACGGATTCTGTATAACTATAGAACTTTCATGCTTGCTATTTGGTAAGGCGTGTACATTATATATGTACGTACATATTACGGAAAACCAGAGAATAAAGATGATGCCTCATAGCTCATTGAGAATGGCATGCTATCACGTTCTTGCGGCCTGACTTTGAAAGCAAACGAGGAGTTATCAATTCCTTTTTGGTAAGTAAATGAAGTCCATAATAAATAACCTAAGGACATCTCCTCCCTCTTTTGTTTCTCTCTCCCTCCTTCCTTTCCCTCCTAAGCAAGCTGGTCTGTATCCACAGAACTTGCAAAACCTTCACCAGCCTCTGCATAGCAAGCCAACCGTCATCCTTTCTCTCCACACCGATCATCGTTTCCCTTCGCTGCGAACGTATTCTCCGTATTCTCCATCAAGAACATCAACACTGCCACACTATTCTTTCTGCGTCTTGTCAAGAGATGTCACTCCCATCCGGTTGTAGTGTGTGCGGCAAGGAAGATGGAGTTCTTCGCTGCTCTGGCTGCAAAGTGATGATGTACTGCGACGTCGAACACCAGACTGCTCACCGACAAGCGCATAAGTCTGCTTGTAGCGCCATTAGAAGATGCCGCTTTGCTATGGAGAAGAAAGAACAGGCCTTACGGGCTCATCCAGATGATATCTTCACCCACGGCGTCGGAAGACTCTGAGGAATCTTTGATACACGGCCTTACATTCGAGCCCGCGCTGCCCTGTCTAATACGCTGACCCTTGTTAAGAATATTGAATCATTTCAAGTACCGCTCGACATCCTGATGGAAAACCTGTGGCTCTGTTGAAGTGACAACATGGGCTCGCGAGACGTCATCCCTGGCCTGATCATTCATTCGTCTCTAAAAGGATCAGGAGTGCTACAATTTTTTGAAATGGTGGGCTACGACCGGCCAGGAACACAACTACGATTGGGGCAACAATACTCTGCCGTACCTTGACATCAAGAACGCCAATCCCCTTGAGCCAGTCGATATGTTCTGTGATAGGATGATCGATCTTCCTCATATGGTTGCTGTGACTCTAGTCAAGATCGAAGTGCTTCAAGTGTTCTTCATAAACACCGGATCTCTTGATGGAATTACCGCTGACATGCTGGTATTCGGACTCAAATCTTCGACTATCGCCAAAAACCCCAATATCGCCAACTGTGACGATGGATGGCTTGAAGTTGTGAAACTAAAGGCCTAGATTCGCGCTTTGTATAAGGCCGTCCACAAATTGAACCCCCACTTTTGGCCGGCCCTTGTGAACCCAGGTCCATGATGTTTTCTATTGGGAGCGTGGAGTAGATACAGATGACGTTGAACTTGACCTATGAAGCATGACGCGAGACTCCTGGGGCCATTGCTGTTATTGAGGTAGCTATCCAGGGTAAAATTTGATGAAGATCGCCACCAACAAGAGATACTTTGAGGGTCGAATGAGTGCGAAAATGATGACAGTGGCTTTCGAGCATTACGCCATCCAAGTTTGATTACCTAGGATGGAGGTTATTTCTTACGTCAAAAGTATTATGCTGCACTTACTACTCGGAAGAATCCCTTGAACGATGACATCTGGGATTTATCTGCCATTGAATGAGAATCAAAGGAGATGATTATCCAAAACATTAAAAGTAACATAAACGTAGAAACTGGTAGGTAGACCTTTCTGATTATTTTAGGTAGTCATCCTAGTTCTTTCTGTAAAGAAACCATTAGCCCCTACTTCTTATTTATACCTAAAAAAAAAAAAAAACAAGATCTAAGTATTGTGCCCAGAACTCAATTTGAAGACGTGTCGACCGCCATTTTACTGTATTACGAGAACCCTCGAAGTCCACCTGCAGGTAACTCCCTCTCTAACCCCCCACATCGGAACAATTGCATCATTTTGCAACCCACCATGGGGATGAAAGCTCGCTGCCAATGTGGCAAGATTCAATTCACTACACCGACAGATAAACCTCTGAAACTATGGATCTGTCACTGCACAGAATGCCAGCACCAAAGCTCGTCTGCCTTCGGCATCACCGCAACCTTTCCGTACTTCGAGCTCCCTGAGTCAGTATCCGGTATGGTCAACAGCTACACTCGAGTTACCCTCAAGGGCCGGGATCTGGAGTGCCTTTTTTGCAAAGACTGTGGCGCGCGGCTTCTTCATCGCTTCCGGGATGCAGTGCCTGCACCTGGCGAACAGCCCGAATTTTCTGCAATTACCAACGTGAAAGGTGGATGTTTGGAGGATCTGAACAAAGAGATGCTGCGATCTGCAGTTCATATCTGGTGTCAGGAGGCGATTATTGATATTCCCGGAGGCGTGGAGAAGTGGGATCAGGCACCGCCGCAGCCAAATCCCTTAGTTAACTAAGTCTTTGGTGTTCCGAGAAAAAAAGAGAGAGAGAGAGAGAGAGAGAGGTATCCAAATTGATTCATTTGCTTATTTCCAAGTACTTACAAGAAAAAAATGTATGTTATGAAATATATACACTTGCTAACTAGGAGAGAATCATGCCCATGGTTATCCTCTCGTAGAACCGGGGGAAACCAGCTACCCAAAACCATGTAGCCTATCCAACGACAGAAGTCCAGCCATTATCAATAGCAATAGTCGCGCCGTTGATCTGACTGGCGCCCTTTCCATATGTCATGTTCACACAGAAGCCAGCAACCTCATTCACGTCGACGTGAGGAGCTTGAATCGCCCGGAGGATCCCTACCATCTTCTCATAACCCTCCATATGCATCCCACTCTTAAACGCATCAACAATGTTGGTGTCCATGCCACCCATCATCAAGGCATTGCACTTGATACCCTTGTTTCCATAGTAAGCGGCAGTGTTCTTAGTCAATCCGACCAGACCGTGCTTGCTGGTCGTATAGGCAGCACCTAAAAGAATAAGTCAATCCCAGATCTAGTAGAAAATCTTCACTTTTGTTGGAACATACCACTGGCCCATCCAGCCTTTCCGGCAGCAGAAACAATATTAATAATGCGCCCATCAGGCTTTGGCTGCGCCAGCATGCTGCGAACAGCCAATTTACTCAGCAGAGCAGGGGCAGTGAGGTTAATCGCTATGACGCGATCCCAGAGCTCCATGTCCAGATCGCCGATTGGGTCGAAGTGGTCCATGATACCGGCGTTGTTGACGAGGACATCAATTTTGCCGAATTCGCCAATCAGTGTTTCAAATAGAGACTCCACTTCGTTGGTCTTGGTGATATCGGTCTTAATGGCCTTAATGGGGCCCTTGGGTGACAGTTCAGCCGAGGCCTCATGCAGACGTTCCTCGTTCACATCGCAGATTACGACGTTGGCGCCGGCTTCGAGGAAATGGGTTGCAATTGCTTTGCCTAGGCCACCGGCACCGCCAGTGACAAGACATGTCTTTCCCGCAAGGATTTGTTCAGACATTGTGAGTGATGATTATGATATAGATAGGGGTAATGGTGTGAGGGAGTCTCGTCAGCGTCAGTTGAAACCGAGATTGGATCTCGTTTAAATATTCTCCATTCTGGCAACGGAAAGCCGTGTACCCGCTTTCCGTTCACCTTGGACACGGTGGTATCCGCTCTGGGCTTGATAGTGTCGGCTCAGGGGTCACGTTTTCTGGGGTACACCCGACTCTTGAAAGGCATCGGACCACCCATCGCGGTTGGGCTTGCCGAGTGGTAATATTAATACCAGGGGATACAGGGTTTCATACGGGTCTGGACAGGAGTAATATGCGTGCAATGTGTATGGTTGGTTTAGAAATATAGGGCAACATCAATCAAGAAAGCTGCATCACTTCTGTGATATATTGAATGAAACCCAAGTACGATTTAAAGGATTTAAGCTTCTTTGGCCCTGGCATGGTTTGGGCTATAGCCTATAAAGCGACATGCAATACACATCCTGGTAACGGGTGAAACGCCGAAATTATGCAGGGTCCATACTATCACGTGAGCGTAACATCCGGAAGCGTGTCTATCCGAGAGCCCTAAGCCCCAACTTCCTGTTTAGTGCATGTATCCAACCTTCTAATCATACATGTACCATGTACCTACCTACATACCTTGTGATATCTTTTTAGCAGTCTCTTAGATGTCTTTTTTATAGATATCTTGTCTCCCTTCTTAGTTCTGTAGGCCGGGGGTAGAAAATGGTGGAAACAAAAGTACACTTTGTGCAAGAGACTTTTGTATATATAACCTGGGACTTCGTGTACAGTCTTGTTGCGCCATCCAGCCCGTGGATGCTTGTTTGGATTGAGCGCGTAGACGGTGGAGTCTCAGTTTCTAAAAGCGGTGAGGTATACTAAACTGTTATACAATACTTTGTTAATTACCAACACCACATGGCAGTCTATCATGAGAGGGTATTGACTTTTTGTTATTTTTTATCTTCGTGTTATGAGATACCTACTTCGTTGCAGCTCGGGTCGCGCTCGATCACTGGCAAATACAAGTTTTTGAGGGGCATCATTCATAACTGAAGCATCGTAGTCTGTAGGCCCATAAATCCCCTTTTTTACTGAACTTCGTGTATCTCTGAATGGTACAACTCCTCCAATTCCCTCTCGGCCTCATCTAACTCCCGATGCCTAGTCCTGAACGCGACTCGTGTTTGTTCATGTGCCTGAGATGCTGCCTTTGCCCTCTCGTATTCCCACCTGATATCTTCCAATTTTGTTTCAAGGGTGTCAAGCTTATTCTTGACCCTCAAGACTTCATTGCTCTCCGGAGCAGCTTTTACATCATATTTCTTCTCCTCATCAGCCAAAGTGATACGAGACCTTAGAATGACTGCCCTGAGGGCTGTGATAGTAGGGGAAGTGGTGCCAACAGGAAGGAGCGACTCCGAGGGCTTTTTGTCAACATCAGGAGCTTCTTGCTCTGTGTTAGTTTCGATATCAGCGTCGGCAGCAGGCTGCAGAGAAGATGACTTAAACACCGTATCAAGTTTGGCGATGGGACGGGGTTCGTAGCCTCCGGGAGACTAAATAGAAGGCGGGTATAATTGTAAACAACCCCTAGCAAATATCATGGTACTGCACATGGAAAGAGCTTACCATTAGCTCTTGGGTAGGTGAAGTCAATAATATTTCAATGCTGGCCGCGGATGAAGGTGGTGAGGGATCGAAGGCATCATGGGCGGAGGGTGTTTGAGCTACGCTGCGTCTTGATACATAAGTATGTGAATGTATCGATGCTAGGATACGAAGAGAAAGGTAATAGTTACTGGCTCGACACTGTTGTTACATGGCCACCACCACGACGAGCACGAACATGTGGCTTGCGTATGCCTTCAGAGCTCATGGTGCTTGTGATGGATGAAGTTATTGTACGAGCAGTGCTGATGGAGGGTTGTATCTCAGAAGTCGACATTTCGATGCGGTGTTCACGATATGTGGGGAAGGAACCTAAAAAAAAGGAATACTGCGCTGGACGAAGTTGGGACTATGTGAGGACAGTCGCGGAGAGTGGCAGCAGTCAGCAGGTCAATCGGCACGTGTTCACTCTATTTGGACCTGGACAGGAGCGCATCCATCAATCATCGGACAGTATAAGGAGGGCATAAGGCAGACATGAAGCTGTTCATAGATTAAGAAGGCGCGTTGTCTCCACCTGCGAGTATAGCCTCCCTTTCTCATTTTCTCTTCTTTCCCCTCCTCCCTCTTCGTCTTACACTCTAGATAGATCATGGATCTCAGCGACAGTTTATAGTGTATTCAATACATGTAACATTCTCTTGAATTACCGCAGCCATGTCAATCACCCCCAGGTACAGTACGTCCAAGCGGCTGAAGCTAGAGCCTGCATCTGCTGGAATGAGTGATATGCAGCTCCGACGCAATCAACGCCATAGAGCCCCCTGGCTACCGCTCAGAGATACAGAGGGCGTGGAATCTATAAAGGACATTGGCCATCTGTTAAAAACGTTTTAGCAATATAGCTTTGGGGTATAGCAGTCTGCCATTGGACTTGTTCTTGCTACTTCTTGGTATTGGAGGGTGTGGACATGTATGCCACCTAGGATATGTATATAAACAAATTCAACCTATAAAGTATAAATGGTCCTTCATCTTTCCATTAGTTATACTTCCCCATCCTCGAGCTCAGAAACTATGTAACCCATGCCACAGGCCCCCGCAGTTCATATCTGCCAACACATCAGTCTTCCAAACTTTATGGCACTGATTAATTGCCACCGATAATATCGAGGCGATTGATTTCGTTTTCTCGGGGCAGTGCATAAGCATGGACCTCGCATGAGGACATCGGCCACACTTTAAACCTTGACACTGAAAGACACAGGCCCGAATAAAGAACAACCAGAGCCAAGAGCCCAACCGGAATCGATGTACAATTTCCGCCCATCGCCACTCTACGCCACATATATGTCCTGAGAAAGAGAAATCGGGAAATCGAGAAATCGACAGATCGCCCAGTGGCAAGGGCGCGCAAAGCCAACAGGCGGTCTGGATCTACGATCAATCCCCACCCCCAGCGTCACCAAATCAGTAACCAGCCCGAACCCACAAGCCACGCTAGATCGGCACTAGATCCCACTATCGATGTACATCGTACTCCGTACTTGGTGTGCGGCGAGTAGGGCAGTAGGGGTATGAGACCTGCCCCATCAAACTGATATTGGTGATATCGACGGGACTATGGCTCTTGCGTGCAGGACATCGTCGAACCTGGTTTTGATTTTGGGAATCGTGTCGCCTGATCTGGAATTTTAGCGCAGATGCTAATAGCCCATGAGGTGTTTGATCTACCGAGGAAAGTTTATGCGGTATAACATGCGGTATGGACTTGGCCAATTGGCTCTCGCCATGGGGCTGGGGGCAAAGTAGCGGGGATTGGACTTCATATTTACCCCGTAGCGATTTCATTGCCCTCGAAATTTATATGAAGAACCACCCTAGGGCTAGAGACTTTATTTCCAGTTTGGAAAGTGGGGAGTGTATTCTACTTTTTTCAACTTCACTATAACAAACTATAACAAACCTTGATGATAGTGTGATCATGTTCGCCTGTTTTTTGTTGGGCAGTGCTGTGGCCTACACCCTAGTGATGGTTATTTATCGTCTTCATTTCCACAAGCTCAGTAGGTTCCCGGGGCCTCGGCTTGCTGCAGCAACAGGGTTGTATGAGATTTACTTTTCCGCCTGGGGTCCTGGCATTTTCAAGTATGAGATTGAAAATATGCACCGCAAGTTTGGTATGCCGTCTGGTATCTGTGAAAAGGTGATTGGATCTGACACTTTTTTTTAGGTCCTGTTATTCGTATTACCCCCGATGAGGTCCACATCCAAGAACCGTCCGGGACTTCCAGCTATTCAGACAGCTGGATCAAAGGTACTCGCGAGCTGGAATCTGGCCATCACCAACCAGGACGCAGCACCCATAGTTTCCAGTACAAGAGACCATTAATCTCCCGAGTACGATCGATGCTCCAAGTGGAAGTCAATCATATTATCAGCAGCTTGATCGAGAAGCATCAAGTTCATAGAATGTTTAGCTCACGGCCACAATTTTCTCTGGTGCCCCCCTGGAGTGAGAAGAAAGTTCAGCCACTCGGAAAAAGCGCCATTGAAGACGGAGCTCGTTCTTAGTCTTAAGTTTTCAACACTTAGACATCTCAAGCCGCCGACATCACCATTTTTCTGGAACCGAGATGGAGCTCACCCTATGTGAATGTTGAGGTAGACCCATGACAGAGCTGTGTTGACAATGAACTTTGAGCTTCATGGTTCACCCCCGGGAAATGTGGAGTGTGGCTTTTTGAGGCGAATGGCAGTTCCACCAGTGCAAGACGGCCTAGGATCTCGGCAGTTGGACATCGGGGGAAAAAGGAAGCACAGGAAAAATATCAAAAGATCTGCTCGACACGAGAAACTGTGGAAGATCCGAGGTCAAAGAAAGCTCAGCGTTCCAGGCTTTTTTTTTTGGGCGGACCGTCTAATCGCCCCGCTTCTGCGATTGTTCTTTTTTTTTTTTTAAAGAGCAGTCACTTGGCGCGATCGCGCAATTCCTCTACATCCCTGATCTTCTTATCTTGCACCTCTGCAAACACATCCTATATCCATTAAATTACCATGGTATGTTCGCGCCCGTGTACTCTTGGCGAATTTCCTGACTGCAAGCCCGGGGCACAAGATCCCTGCAGACACCAAGACAGAGCTAACACAATTGCATCTGACAGCCTCACGCCGACTCCTCTTATTTCATGCCAGGTAGCTCCAAGGCCGACATATACGAACAGCTCTTGCTGTCGACACAAGGTCTCCTGGACGGTCAGCGGAATTGGGTTAGGTGAGTGACGATACAAGCCAAACCATGCGCGCTTCAACAACTGCGAGAACCCTTGAGAGCACGATCGCTAATGACGCACCAGCAACCTCTCCAACGTCGCTTCCCTCCTGTGGCACGCTTACGCCTCCCTCCCCGCCCCCTCCTCTTCCGTCAACTGGGCCGGATTCTATATCCGCGATGACAAATTCCCAGTCCTCGCTTCCCCGGTCTCCTCGCCACCATTGCACGGTGCATCTGGTTCCGGTGGTGTGACTATCTCAACTACATACTCTACCTCGGAGCACCAGCTTCTTCTCCTCGGGCCGTTCCATGGAAAGCCCGCGTGCCAGCAGATTCGTTTCGGCAAAGGCGTTTGCGGTACTGCTGCCGAGAAGCAGGAGACTGTTATTGTTCCTGATGTTCTGACCTTCCCTGGGCACATTGCATGCGACGCAGAGAGTCGCAGTGAGATTGTTGTACCTATTTTGGTCAATGGAGAGGTTAGTACTTATTTCCTAGCGACGTTAGCACCGGTTCTAGAGACAAAATTAGCTTTGGAGGAATATCTAACATCTTCAATCATAGACTGTCGCTATTATTGATGTCGACTGCACCGAGCCTTCTGGATTTGACGACGTGGACAAGAAGTACCTCGAGCAATTGGCTGCCTTCTTGGCTGAGAGCTGCGACTGGTGAAAGCACACATAATATTTTTTTTATAATGGTTACGAAAGACATGGGTTTAGGCAAATAAAAATTTTGGGTTTATGATTGCGCATCTGAGTGGCTGTTAGCTATCTGGGCGCAAAAGCCCAAGTAGATTTTGTTTCTACAGAGAGTCGGCTACCACAACAGGCTCTGGTGTGGTACTCCTAACGCAAAATACTGCGCATGCCTCAACGACCCATGATCCACAAATAGCTCGTCGTGTCCGGCCGATCACATCGAGAAACCGGCCCTTGCCGTCGCTCTTCATGTAGATTTATGCTGAGGTTTGAAAGCTTCATCGTCGTGTCGTACTTTGTAGTTCTTTGTGCATTGTCGATCGCAGGCTTGTTTATAGTCATCGAGTGTGTTCGCAATATATATGTGCTAGATACACTAAGAAATGGCATTGTAACATGACGCCTGAGGTAGTAGTATCGGGGCTTAAGTGCAATATACGAGCCGGGGTCACCAGCTATCTATTTGTGGGGTATAAGCCCTTGCCCAGCGTTGTGTTCGTTCACATTGGCGTGGCCGAAGCTTGGAAGTGGAGTCGTGGCTGACAGGTGGATCCATTTGACACCCGTTGAATGTTGACCATGTGCGTATAACGTAGGTATTGATTCTGTCTAATATGAAATATATGTATGGCCGTAATTTGACAATTGGATAGGGTATCTCTCTCCAGGTCTAATACAACCACTTCTCGACGTCACATCTCAAGCTTTGATGTTTGGACTAGATTACTCCCTGGGCGCTTGTAGCCACTATGTATATTGGATTATAATGCAGGGGATGATCGGCGTTATAAATGATGAGTGGCCCCCGGAGATTAACACGTCCATGGCTACATTTGACTGCCAAGTCTCCACGCGTGAAACAGATCTGCATGACACAATCAGTACCTAAGCTTCATGATCCCTTCAATCTACGATTGTTTGTAGATTTTATATCGATCTGAGGCCTGGCACCATGATTAGTCCACATGTAGTTACTTTCTGCAAGTGAAATGAAGTCAGCCGTGGAAGGCGCAAACTGTATACACCCAGGGGTTACGGATCTCAATTTCTTCAGGTGCGGGAGTGTTAATATCGCCGTTAATATAAATTGCATGCTGTACCATGTTAAGGACTGGAATAGGGAAATAGGGGAATGAGGAGAATATTGCTATGTTGTATGCGCTGCAACTTATATTCGCTGCGGGGGTGGAATAACCCGATGTTACATTGCATGTAGAATAAAACCAATCAAAGGAAAGATAAAGGCAGATAGAGTGTCATCCAACTAGGAGCGAAGGGTGATCTTTTGACGCATAAACAACGTTGATTGCAAGAATTGGATGTGCCGTTCCCAAATGTCAATGCCAGGGGAACTATACTGTATGGCATGGTTCCATCGACTCCACAGTATTGCAGATCGCCATCTATAGATGTTAATGTTTCATCTTGAGGGTGCAACAAGTATAAAGCAAGTCTATAAAGAAGAGGCATAGAACCGCCGGATTCTCACTCCCATTCCCAACAACCAATCCTCCCAAGCCCAAACACCAACCGATATGAAGTTCTCCCAGACCCTTCCCTACGCCCTCGCGCTTCTCCAGCCCGCCACAGCCCTCGTTGGACACTCCTGGTCTGTGTCTGGCGTGAGCGATGATGGAATCCGGGAAATCACCTTCCCCATCAACATCGCCAACGCACCTCACGAAGTGGGCTTCTACTTCGCCCAGCAATTTACCTTTGCCGGACAGTCCGATGTGGGCTACACAGGCCTGCAGCCCCAAGTCGACTCCTCGGCCGGCTCCGTAGTTCACGCTGCCTTTTCCAGTTTCGTTCCTGGAACCACCAGCACCGACGAGAACTGCAGCGATGGTGCCGACGGTGGCCCTGGCGTGAGCTGTGCTGTTAATATCGACGGCACATACGCCAACACCTATAACATCAATGTCAAGAACTCGGAGGGAACCACCTGGGTCGGCACACTGATTGATTCTGTCACCGGCAAGGAAACCCATATCGGCTCTTATACCCTTCCTGATACCACCCGGGGTATTGAGGGGGGCCAGTTGGGCTTTGTCGAGTATTTCGTCGGCACCAAGGAGTGCGGCGACTTGCCCAAGACCGCTGTCACATTTGGCAACCCCATTGTCAAGGGTCTTACCGGAAGCATTGATGTTCCTTATGAGTATGGCGACTGTGTTGGGAAGTCTGCCTTTGAGACCCACTCTGTTCAAGATGGCGTTGAGATCTCTGTTGGATTCTAGATATAGGAAGGATAACTGACTGTGCGGAGCTTTCTTTTGGTCGATGAAGAATAGTTGCATGAGTTGGATGGGGATATGGGATGAGTAAAGTACACTTCTTATAAGTTATGAGGGGGAGCTCTCCAATATGAACGGTGGATGACTGGGATCATATTATTATTCTGTTACATATATTAGTAATTTTCCACCCTTTATGATCTCATCCTTATCTGCTGACTTGCTGAATAAAACAGTGAATTGAATAATTTCAGCAAGTATTGATGCAGAACAACATATTTCGTAGCTGAGCCTCAAATAGTTCCATGGCCTGGGCACATTAACCTTGACTTTTAAGGAAAAGTATCTACTTACGGATATCAACCTTATTTTGAGTTCGTCAATGAAGTCCACGGGTAGGACAGAGGCTTAGGTCTCTGTCTTTACTTCATACAGCGTTCATACATACTCAATCTGGCCAATTATCCACATCCAAAGAGTACCCCGGACATCTACAGAAAATGTCAAACTTGATCCTGTGGGGCAATCTCACCTAGGTTGGAGCGCTGGATGAAATAGAACAGCCGTGTATGCTTGTGCCGAAAGAAATGAACAGAGATCCCAGAGTCAAATATTTCCACATAGACAACATTCTACATGTTAAATAAATATCATAGTTGCGCAATAATTTGGCATCGTGGGTACGGCACCGATTTGGCCAGCACCAGTTGAAATAGCCCGCAACACCTGTTAAGTCTTTATGTCCAGACAGCAATATTTGACGACCCTGGAGCCAGAACTTGTCAAATCCTATCACCATGAGAAAGTATACCGCGTTGACAGCTAATCTTTTGCAGATTGGCAAAATTATTCTATAAAAAGATGGTTCATAAGACTATTGGACATATTTACGGAGGCTTTATGTCTTAACATAAAATTCTCTTTAAGATAACGGTACGTGCTTCTGTCAATACCAAGGTATTATACAAGGTGTATTGAAATTTAGCATTGGTTTGTCTAATTTCCACATAGGGCCAGACATGCCCGAGCTTATGGGGCGTTTTTTTGGGACCGAAAGGTCATCAAAGCGGATCCAAACTTCTGTATGGAGCCCATTATCCCATGAGGGACTAATAATACAGCAAACGAGATGCAAATGATGGCAAGGATACTTGGTGACTCTGTGGGTCTGGCAATAATGTTATCTATAGGTTTTCAGAGCCAGTCACACGGAATAATTTGCCGCTTTTTGTATTGCTCCTAGTGTCAAGAGTTGGGCAGACGCTAATGCGGTGGTAGTCCACGCGGAGTGCTCCGTACCTGTATTAGGCTGCGGATGAACGGCTCGTCTAAACTTGCATTTCCAAGTCATTTCGGAGGAAAGCCCCAAGCGACAAGGTGTATGAATATTCGAGTTACCAAATCTCTTTGAAGCTACTTGATACAGACGAACGGTAAAGAGACCCACGGGTGCGCACAAACACGAACCGATGTTCTGAGCGGAGCCCCACATGGTATAGTAAATGAAAATTACTTGACCATATTCAATGTATTCATACACCATTGCAACCTCTATACATGGAACATAATACATGCTTTTTCTCTTACAGGCCACATACATTCTGTTTTTATGTCAGCTGATATTCCAAATAAAAGAAAGAGTGTCTCATACCATTCGTCGTTTGGTGAAGTCTGCATATAGTTCTAACCAATAGTCACGATCACGACAGTCTAGATGCCCACTCATGTCCATGTGACAGGAAGGTTGATTCGTATCCATGATACTAGAAGGGAGATCGACCCAAGGCTGTTTGTTAATTAGCAACGATCTCTCGAGGATGCAAACGAGGAGCAGAAGGACCATACCTTTGGAATTGGCCAATCAGAGAAATGCACGAATTTGGCCTCCTTGAGCATTTTATCGGGATTCCAAGTCTCATTGCTATTCCCCAGATATTTCGAGTGATTATTGTTGCGGAGTTCTCCAGACAACATGATGTAAGGACGGTGCGGCAAGATGAGCGCACTATCTCTGTAGAGATGATTCATAACCTCCATATCATAATCGGAGGGACCGGCTGTCTCAATGGCTGTCATGATGCGATTAAATTCAAAGTGAGAAGGCTGAATGAGCAAAAGCGCAGAGGTCATTATACGTTCATCCGGGTTAAGCCAGTAAGCTCGAGGTAGAGCTAGAGGACATGGCGGCATCAAGAACAATTCATCCATATGCTGGACCTTGTTAGTCAAGCAAAACCAGCTATTCATCTTTCCCGGAAAACCATACCTGTAGCAGGGTGGCATCTGAATCAAGGCCCAGGACACGATCATATTGCGTTTGGTTGAAGGCAAGAAGCTTGGTGAAGCTCGCCTGCCATGTTTCTGGATTGGGATTAGAATTTCGTTCGTTTTGAGAGGATGTATGATGCTTTTTTTCAAGAAACGGATAGCACATACCATCACCGTCATCTCGAATTTGGAGTTGGATGGGCACTAGCTTGACCTTGTATTCATCTCGAGCTTTGCGGAGAAGTCGACTTTCCGTCCCGCTGTCACTTTCGTCTAGCGAAAATTCCGACGGGTACATCATGATACGATCAGCTTTGCTTTGCAAGCGATTGAGAGCTTCAAAGAGCATAACTGAGTTACACAGATAGGGTGTATCGGTAACATATTGCGTGTAGGCAAAGCGAGACCAATCCAAGGCATCACCAATAGGTTTTGGAAGGGGTCCGTTGTGGAATTCATAAAAAGACGCATGTGAGCGTCCATTTGACAAAATGAGTAATGTCTCAACTATGAAAAGCAGGACAATGATGGCGATTATAGTGCGCACTGCCTTTGGAAAGTTTGATAGCATGATGAGCCCCGAGAGGGGGGATAAAGAGGACAACCTTGTCAGTAGAGGTGGGATATCAAAGCCATGAAGATATCCGATTATTATATATTTTAAAGATAGCAATCGAACTAAGAGTTGAAGAAAGAAACAAAGAAGTAATGTGATTCAGACTCGCATCAAAAAATTGACCGCTGAGGAGCCACCACTACCAAACCCACGCAGCAAGTTAGTCTAGCTAGTAATAGTAAATTTGACCTAAAACATGGGCTTTTACGGAACACACGAGGCTACTCAGTAGAGGCTGTTGGGGCCGTTGTCTGGAATTATTCCCCACTTGTTACTCATAGCCCCTGATTCGCCAGCCAATCCTAAAAAAACCATATGCTCAGTATTATCACAAAATTCAAGCTCATTTTAGGGTATTGCTCTTGTATCAGTTTTGTTACAAGCTAGTACGATTGTATTATAGGATGTGGGTGTTTGTTGTGGGATCCCGTTTAGCTGGATCTATATAGAACCCGTATTTCTCTCTTCTAGTCAACTGCGAATCCCGACGGAGGCTTAGATAGGCCCTGGATCCTCACACCCTATAAGGATACATTTTTTCGTACTCGCCTATGTTTACAATCCCACATGCAAAAAATGCTGAGCCATGGATTGACCGCAAGCGACCCATGGAGGCAATGGATCCATAATAGGTGGAACTGTAGGAGTAAAGTGGCCGAAGAATATATAGGTTCTCGATAGGAGCGGAGCTTCAACAAGGTTGCGAGTAGAAAATTTGATGCCGACAGTGATAGAAGCGCCAATAACGAGAGGAAATATCACAGAGGTATAATCGCCGAATAAACAGCCATCTACAATTATGCACCCCAAAATGTAAGATTTTGCATAGCCTTGAGAAAAATGACGGTCAATGGCCTTACGCTCTCGGTCTAACGAAGAGTAGAAATGCAACAACCAGAATGTGGGAAACTCTCATCATTCACCATTTAGAGTTTCGAGGTGACAATAGCAAGTTGCAAAAAAAAAAAAAAAAAACATAGTCGACCCGCCGAAGGCTTTCTACTCAAGCCGTAGAGGCAATATGTCATGGTCTATTGACACGATATCCAAGACGAACAGCAATGCAGATGCTTCCCTGCCCGAGAGATGTCGGGAACAAAAATACTTACAATGCAAAACACCGAGCGAACCTCATCACGCTGGGGTTGAGACATGAGAACAAGAGAAAAAACCGAGACCTAAACGAGAAAGAGGTATAGAACACAAAAGGAAATCGAAAATCGCTAACATGCACAAGAACATCACATATTGAGCAAGCTCATTTGTCGACGCATGGGATTGGGCGACAGAGCATCCCCGTCTTCACTGGGACCGATGCCACTGTCTGTCCCAGCGAGTGTGTTGTCCATATCGATGTCCCACTGTTCGTCTTCATTGGGATCGCTGTTCAAATCTGCGTCGGCATCGCCACCATCCCAGCCCTTCTGGACTGCGCCGCGGGTGTTCCACCGCAGAGCCCGCTGTACGCTAGTGAACCATTCGTTGTTGTTGGAAACGACGGTCGGGAATGGGTACTGGCTAGCTTCCACAGTGACATAGTCGCCTTGGCGGAGTTCGACGCGCCCTTTGCCGTCAAAAGAGCAGTAAGCGGTGGATCGGGAGGATTTAGGAACTGCAATACGGAGGAGGTGGGAGTCTGAGAGGACCATTGGCCGGAAGGAGAGGGTGTGCGGGCATATTGGGGTGAGAAGGATGCCTGGGATGGATGGGTGCATAAGAGAACCGCCGGCAGATAGAGAGTATGCCGTGGAACCAGTGGGCGTGGAGAAGATACAGCCATCCGCTTGGACGACTGTTAGCAGGTCGTCGTCGGCATAGAGCTCTAGGTTCGACACATAGGGGGACGGGCCGCGGTCGATGACAAGCTCATTCAATATTTCGAATTGCTCACCCTCCTCGACAGCGCCCATCTCTGCTCCCTTGCTCCGGTCTTTCCGGTAAACGGTACATGTGAACCGCATGCGCAAATTGACGCGCATGCCCACCTCGCCCATAACGGCATTAAGCTGTGATTTGTAGTCGGAAAACTCGAAATTTGTGAGGAAGCCCAGGCTACCTAGCGAAAAGCAAAGCACGGGCGGAACCACGCGCTGAAAGAGCCAAGACGTGAAAAGAACGGTGCCATCACCGCCAAGTGTCAGCACCAAGTCGAACTTGTCTGGTGATGTCCAGCACAGATCCGGCGTCCAAAAATGTAGCATCTGCGCAAACATCGGGTTTTTTTGCAATAGCCCCGGAGCATCAAATCGTTTCGAATTTCGCAGTTTCGCATCTACATAGACATTGATTCCTAATTCGTTCCCATATCTTGGGGTCGAAAGCAGCCACTCGGCAACTTCTCGAGTCAAGTGCACTAGGCTGTTATCACGTGCCTTGGTGACAATCATGACATTTCGCACCGCCCGTTTGATAGGTCGTCGCTGGAGTTGCTTTGACACTTCACGAACTCCAGTTGCCGTCTGAACTAGTCGCGAATGCGACAGCCACTCGTCGTCGGCGATTTCCTCCAACACCTTTTTTATGTTGACGGCATCATCGAAGCGTTGGTGGAAATAACATGGGGATTGCAATATCAGCCGTGCTGTGGCAGGAGATCGGTCGAGATACCCGCTCAATTGAAGATTTGATAGTGCGGTGGAGAGATTGTGGGAGGAAGCATTGCTCCCCCGCCGCTGGAGGCTGTCGGAAGGCGGGGAAGCCTGGATGGATTTATTGGCCATACTCGACAAGGAATTCGTCATCATATTGCTACTATTGCTGAGGATCGAAGCCCGTGAGGCCAGCGCTTTCAAAATTGTCTGTCGCGGTATACAGTCGGTCGATAGCGCTTTCTTCGATCGGCGATTAATCGACTTCCGGCGAAATGACCGTAACTTCGAGGAAGGCAGCGAGGAACCTACAGCCTCCTCTTGGGCCGGTTCGGAGATTTGTGTAGACAGCGCGCTGTTGATTCCTTGAGGGAGACCTGGGCGATTGACCTGGGTCGAGGGTTCTATGTTGAGGGCATAGTCGCGGAGGAGCGCCGCGGTTGTTGGGGGCGGGGCTGTGGATAGAGGGGGGTTTGCGCTGTAGATAGACTTGAGAATGTGTCAGACCGGAGATGATCACGGCTGGACGCCATCGGCTTCGGCGGCAGGTAAATAAGACGTGTAATCAAGAAAAGAGCTCGGATGTAACGGGGTTTGCGGATCCGAAATCTTGAGATGCTGTGTCCCCAGTCGTGGACCCAGCCCTGGAGTTGATATTGATTCTAGCGTATTCCACGACCTTTTTTTGAGGAGGGGAGGGGGGTTTTCTTTTCTTTTTCGATTCGTTAATTTTTTTTTTTGATATGTCGACAAGAATGCCGACAAGGATGCCGACAAGGATGCGGATAAACTCGAGAGAAGCAGGGTTGGGCAAAGATTGACAATTGGCAAGGATAACACCCCGAAAAAAAAGGGAATTCCTCTAGGGCTTTCTAGGACCACGGACCTCGATAATCCACTAGGAAATTACTTAGATTGGTTTCTGACCTTCTGACTTTGGCGAGATCCCCCCAGAAAATCTATAATTGGCGAGTCTGACTGGTCATCACCAAATGCGTACACTCGCGCAGTGCGCTCAGATAAATGACGTTTACACGCTTACACTGTGATATCAGAGTTATATTAGAGGATCTTATGTAGGAATGTTTAGAGGTAATAGGAGTTTAGGATTTCTTTTTTGATATTTCATTCTGTTACTTGGTGTAGTCTTGATCAGAATGTTAAAACATGTATCCGCTTCCGACCCTGATTCGAAATGGGCCATCATTCTGGCGCCTACTAATCTGTAGTTTCAACTGTCCAGCGCTAAAATTACTTGGCAAGATCGGGCGACCAAAACGTCCATCAAAAGCTGACGGGGGCCGTCCGGAATCCAACAATTGAGGGAACCCGAAAACAAGCCTCACATGCAGCAAGGCTGTCGCTTGTGGCAGCTGAATGAAGCGTGTTGTACATGCAGTGGCAGTCAGGTAACGGTGCCTTAACCGGGTGTGGTACTCGATCAACTATTTTGTGGCACCGTCATGTCCCTAGTCGAGGGGGGAGAGATAAAGCGAGTGCTTCAGAGAAGCCATGTGCCCAAGAGAAGGGAACCAGAGGATGGCCAATCGACCTGTCCTATTTAATCACGTCTCGCTCACTCTCCGCAAATTTGCCGTGGGCGTAGTCCGCCTCAAATAGAGTCCAGCTTGTAGGCGTAGTCGCTGTAGATCTGGTCCTCCACGGTCTCCCGGATGAAACCGCTCAAACTGGCGCTGGCCGTTCCTTCGCCCATAGTAACATCGCCATCAGTGCTGGTTGTCACACCCTGGCAAATAGAGAGCGCGCGCTCACGGACAAGTTCCCAGGTATCAAATTCAAACCGACCCTGGCTCTCGTTGAGCAAAAGGTGGTTCTTCGAGGAGAAGGCAAAAACATGGAGGGACACAGCAGCCTTGGCGGCGGTCGGGGAGGGGTCCCGCACGATATCACCAGACTTGGTTACACCGAGGAGGGTCGCGGAGAAGGTCATCGACAGAGGAACGGAGGCAGATACCATAGCGAGCAAGGCAGCATGCAGGAGAGCCGGGAGGATAGTAAGGTACTAGATAGATCAGTCTGACAGTTCGACAGTGCAGGCTCAAGGGAGGTTCTGAAATACTCACAGAGTCACCGCGTTCCACATTCTCTCCTCCGACAATAGTCAGGGTGATGACCACGCCGCGACGGGGGAAACCCTTCTCCCGTCCGAGGACGATTTTCCCTAGCGCAGACCGCAGGATTCCTTCGGCATATCTTTCACCAACGCCAGCAGTTGTCGTACCAGGTTTGACAAAGACCTCCACAGTGGCTTCTTCGGGTTTCAATGCGTCACGGCGTGCTGGGAGCTCAATGGGTGCGTTGACTGCGCCCAGAATGCTGTAACCGGTGGCTGGGCATTTGTATGAC